ATAGTCTTTTTCGAGCCATTCGAGCCTCACTTGCTCGAGCTACGGAGCATTTTCCATGCTAAAATTACAAAATAAAAATAAAAATAATTACTCTTTCAAAAAAAATATTTTTAGAGTTGCAGTTAAACACTTAAAAATGGAGGAAATGTAAAATATTTTACATAAAAATTATTTTTGGTGTAAATTATTTTACACATAAACAAATGGAGCATTAAATATAATTTAAGATTGTTTATTACAACAAATTTTTAATATTTCTTTAAAAGTTACATATTATTTTAATATAAAAACATATATAATGTAAAATTTAAACTATATATTATATTATTTAATAAATTTATCATCTATCATATTTATTCATTGGTTCATTGGGTAAATTACATTAACACCCCTGAGATTTATATTTATTACAGTTCTCCCCTCACTTTTTGGAAATTACATCCCCTTCCTGAGATTTAAAGTTTCATTGCAGATTGCTCCCTCTAGGAATTTAATTTTTTTAAATACCAATTTTTCCCTCACTAGGTAAATTACATTGACATCCATCACATTTTAAAAATTACATTCCCCTCCCTAAGGTTTAAAATAGCATTACCAATTACCCCCTCGGTTAGTATTAGTTGAAAAAAAATTCATTGAAAAAAAAAATTCATTGAAAAAAAAATTAATTGAAAAAAAAGTTATTGAAGTTCATTGGGTAAATTACATTGACACCCCTGAGATTTATATTTATTACAGTTCCCCCCTCACTTTTTGGAAATTACATCCCCTTCCTGAGATTTAAAGTTTCATTGCAGATTGTTCCCTCTAGGAATTTAATTTTTTTAAATACCAATTTTGCCCTCACTAGGTAAATTACATTGACATCCATCACATTTTAAAAATTACAATCCCCTCCCTAAGGTTTAAAATAGCATTACCAATTACCCTCTCGGTTAGTATTAGTTGAAAAAAAATTCATTGAAAAAAAAAATTAATTGAAAAAAAAATTAATTGAAAAAAAAGTAATTGAAAAAAAATTTGTTGGTCAAATTTTTAAATTTCTGTTTAAAAACCAACGTAAACTCATTTTTTAAATTTACGTTTTTTCCTCAAATTTACAAACTGATACAACCATTTATAAACCAAAAAAATTATCAAACAAGTTTTTATGACAATTTTTAAAATTTTTGTAAGTATAAATTGAAAACTAAAAAGAAATAGTTATCAAATAGGCATCAGATGGTAAAAATGTCGTAAAACTAACAAATAATTAAATAAGTTACCAATGTAAGAAATGACTTATCAAAAGATTCTTAAGCTATGTATGGTTTGATTTTTAGAATTTTTTTTAAAATTAAAAATTAATTTGGTTAAGAAATAAAAAATAAAAAATAATTATCATTTTTATATAATTTTTATCTTTCGAGTGTAATAAACATAAACCTCAAGGGGGTGTCAGTGTAATTTTTATCTTACATTGATTTTTAAATAGAAATTTAAAAATTTGATTAACAAATTTTTTTTTTCAATTAACTTTGTTTTCAAATTATTTTTTTTTCCAATTATTTTTTTTTTCAATTAATTTTTTTTTTCTAATACTAACCGAGGGGTAATTGGTAATGCTACTTTAAACCTTGGGAAGGGATTGTAATTTCTAAATTGTGAGGGGTGTCAATATAATTTACCCAGTGAAGGCAAAATTGGTATTTAAAAAAATTAAATTGCTGGAAGAAGCAATCTGTAATGAAACTTTAAATCTCAGGGAGAGGGATGCAATTTTCAAAAGGTGAGAAGGAACTGTAATAAACATAAATCTCAGGGGGTGTCAATGTAATTTACCCTTATTCTCTTTTTATTCTTGAATAGCACAGAGTGATGGCTAGTTAAAATCAATTTAAACTAGGAAAAATTACAAATAAAAAAATTTAAGGTTAGACTCTTATAGCAAAATAAATCTTGAACTTTTAACCTTTTCAATTTAAATTCTAATTTTTTTAATTTATTTTTAATCGAAACCATATGCACATTTTCATTGAGAAAATTGACCCAAAAAAATAATATTTGAATCATTAAACTCAAAATAGGTGAATGGAAAATGTCTAAAATATACTTTTCTATTGAAAGTAGCAAAAATATATATTTTTTCTTCAATTTTAGTTAACGAAAATAGACATGTAATTTAGATTGAAAACAAATGAAAACAATTTGTTTGTTTAGAAAGAAATAGATGAATGAAAATGGTAAAAAGTGAAGTGATAGAAAGGAAAAATAAATAAATATTTATTTTCTTGCATGCATTTGAATAGAAGAAAAAATTTGTAAGAAAATTATGGGAAAAAAATATAATCATAGCATAATAGGGAGTTGTGTAGTGAAATATGGGCAAAAAGAAAAACAAAATAAACATTGTTAAGATTTGTGAGAAAAAATTAATTTTCTTGTGTATTTTGTAAGAAATTGTTAGCCTAACTAACAGCTTAATCTAAGTTGGACAAGAATTTTATTATTTTCTAAGACTCTGTATCTAAACATGCACATAATATATATATATTGTCATTTTCATGTATTATCTATCTAGCAAAACCGAAGGTTTAAATTGATAAATTTAAGATTTATTTTATTAAAAGGGTCAAATATAATTTATTTATTTATTATTATTATTTTTTTAATTTTATCTTTAAATTATAACTCTCATAAGATATGAGGTTTGACTTAGTGGTTTTGTAGCCACACCTTAGAGTGTAGTGAGAGGAGTGCCAAGAGTTTAAGTTGATGGACTAATGATGACCCTTTAAGTTATAACCTAGAGTAATATTAGAGATCCCAAATAATTTACTAAATGTTTTGCCAAACTTCTCACATGAGTGTGAGACCTTGTGTGGGTCCCACACCCATCTGAAACGTTTGATAAAACATTTGGTAGATTATTTGGGGTTTCTAGCATTTTTCTATAATCTAACTTTACAAATAAATTAATGATAAAATATACTTTGCCTATTTTATATTTGATTACTTTCTCCCTTTGACTCTTAAAATTTATTTTTAACCCGTTATGTTTCAAGTTTTTCTCAATTTTACTCTTAAAACTAACTTCGGTTAAAAAATAAACAAAAAATAATACATTGACAGTCACGTGGTATAAAAATATTTTATTATATAACTCATACTTCTGACACAAACTCAAATATCAATATAATAATATATTTTTATATTATATGTAACAGTTATCGTGACATTTTTTGTCTAATTTTAAATATAAGTTACTTTTACAAGTAAATTAAGAAAAATTTAAAACTTAAAATACCAAAATAGTAAAAAAATAAATTTTAAAAATCAAAATAAAAAGATAATCAAACATAAAAGGAACAAAATATATTTTACACATTAACTCTCATATGCATACACCAAAAATAAAAGTAATAACAAAAAAATTGCAATGTGGCATGATTAAAATATTTTCCAATTCTCCAATCCATCCCAAAATACTCAAGTCGTAACCAAACACATAAAATGAAACTCAATTAATCAATTATTGAGTTAACTCATAACCAAACACATAACTCGAAATTTCATACTACTTTCACAACTCTACACTAAAATCATAACCAAATACATAAGAAAAAAAAAATTATTTAAAATTTTTTTCATAAAATATAGTTTAAATTTATTTTCATAAAATATTTTAACAGAAAAAAAAATGTTTTTAATTTTTTTTTCAACTTTCTTTGTTTTTCCTGGTAAAAAGCCTGATTTGAATTTTTTTTTTTTTACTTTGTGTGGGCTAACGCCTATATTCTATTTCATGTGGGGGTAGTATGGTAAATTTACCTGTGAAATTGTTGCCGCCATGCTCCTGTCATGCTTTTGTCCGGATGTGGCTAAATTAGCCACTTTTGTCATTTAGTGGCTAATTTAGCCTGAACCCAACTTGCCAAACACAAGCTTAATGGTTTTGTAGCCACACCTTAGAGTGTAGTGAGAGGAGTGCCAAGAGTTTAAGTTGATGGACTAATGATGACCCTTTAAGTTATCAAAAATGCTAGAGGCCCCAAAAATTCTACCAAAAGTTTTACCAAATGTCTCACATGGGTGTGGGACCCACATGGGACCCACATTGTGTCGGTCCCACACCCATGTGAGACATTTGGTAAAACTTTTGGTAGAATATTTGGGGTCTCTAGCATTACTCTTAAGTTATAATCTAGAGTAATAATGTTAGAGATCCCAAATAATCTACTAAATGTTTTACTAAACTTCTCACATGGGTGTGAGACCTACACATGGGCTTGTGTGGGTCCCACACCCATGTGAAATGTTTGGTAAAACATTTGGTAGATTATTTGGGGTCTCGAGCATTTTTCTATAATCTAACTTTACAAATAAATTAATGATAAATTATACTTTGCCTATTTTATATTTGATTACTTTCTCCCTTTGACTCTTAAAATTTATTTTTAACCCTTTATGTTTCAAGTTTTTCTCAATTTTACTCTTAAAACTAACTTCGGTTAAAAAATAAACAAAAAATAATACATTGACAGTCACGTGGTGTAAAAATATTTTATTATATAACTCATACTTCTGACACAAACTCAAATATCAATATAATAATATATTTTTGTATTATATGTAACAGTTATCGTGACATTTTTTGTCTAATTTTAAATATAAATTACTTTTACAAGTAAATTAAGAAAAATTTAAAACTTAAAATACCAAAATAGTAAAAAAATAAATTTTAAAAATCAAAATAAAAACATAATCAAACATAAAAGGAACAAAATATATTTTACACATTAACTCTCATATGCATACACCAAAAATAAAAGTAATAACAAAAAAATTGCAATGTGGCATGATTAAAATATTTTCCAATTCTCCAATCCATCCCAAAATCTTAAAAAACTTTCCATTTATTTTCTCTAATTTAATAATATTAATTAATCAATATCATTTTCTCTCCTTATTTGCTTCAAAAACGCTTCACTGAAATTCTCAAACCAACCAACAAAGCAAAATATAATAAACCTTCCCCCTCTCTCTCTCTCTCCTTCACTTTCTCTCTCTATATCTCTCTGTATTTACTACCAGAATCAATCCAAGCAAAACGCCACTTAGCTTCTTCAATCTCTCTCTCTCTCTCTCTCTCTCTCTCTGTGGGCAATGGCGGTTCCTCCGACGGTCGCCGCCACTCCGGCGTCGCTGTACGTCGGCGACCTCCACCACACCGTCACCGACGGCCAGCTTTTCGACCACTTCTCCGAGTTCAAGAGCCTCGCCTCCGTCCGAGTCTGCCGCGATTCCTCTACCGGACGCTCACTCTGTTACGGTTACGTCAACTTTCTCTCTCCGCAAGATGGTAATATAACCTCCTTTCGATCGCAGTGTTGTCGATTTCTCCATCACTTTCTTCCATTCAACTCACAATTTTTGCTTGTCAATTCTCTCATTTTATTCCTAACTAATCAATAAAACCTTATGTATCTATTTATCTGATTATAACTGATCATAATACCAATTAAAAAAAATATATTTTTAGTTCATTGTATGGTTAAAGTCTGTTATTTTAGCGTGATTTTTTTGCTCTATTGCTTTGTTTTCGATTTGATAAGGATTTTTTTATTTTATTTTTTGTATTTTTATGATGGATTAGGAGTGATAAAAAGAAAGTTAATGTTTTTGAGTGTTATTTTGTTTTCTCTGTGTAGATTCTGTTGTTGTAGTTGTATCTACTTTTGAATTTGGATTTAGTTTTTAGTTTTTGAATTTTTTTTTAAATTTTGGTTGTGTTTCTGATAATAGCGATTCGTGCTATTGAGAAGAAGAATCACTCTGTTTTGAATGGAAAACGGATAAGGGTTATGTGGTCGCATCGTGATCCTGATGTAAGGAAGAGTGGAATTGGTAATGTGTTTGTGAAGGTATAAATTCGTAAAATTTTGAGTTTTTATTATAATTTCTCTTTTTTCTTTAATTTTGATTTATGGGTGATGAGTTGTTGATTGAATTTTGGGTTTTATTTTTCAGAACTTGAATGAATCAATTGATAATGCACAACTTCAAGAAATGTTTCAAGAATTTGGGAATATTGTTTCGTGCAAAGTTGTCATGTCCGATGATGGGAGGAGCAAAGGATATGGGTTTGTCCAGTTTGATTCTGAGCAATCTGCAAATGCTTCCATTGAAAAGCTTAATGGATTCAATAATGGAGGGAAGCATATGTATGTGACTCCTTCTACCCTTTTATGTTTACTTTTTTGTTTTAAAATAATATTTTACCTTTTTACTTGTTCCGTTCTCGTCGAAAAATATTTTGTTTCATGGTGCATTTATCCCTTCTGTGTGGAACATTCATCTGAAGAGTTACTTCAAGTCATGACCTATTCACACCTTACTTTTCCATGGTCCATAATTATTTACTGATTTATAATAATTTATGGAACAGGTATGTTGGTAAATTTGTGAAAAAGAGTGATAGGATTTTACCTAGTCCTGATGCTAGATATACAAATTTGTATGTGAAGAATTTGGATCTAGATGTCACAGAAGAACTTCTTAAGGAGAAGTTCTCTGAGTTTGGTAAAATTCTCAGCTTAATTATCTCGAAGGATGAGTATGGGACCTCTAGAGGTTTTGGATTTGTGAATTTTGACAGCGCAGATGGCGCCAAGAGGGCAATAGAAGCTATGAATGGATCACAACTTGGTAGGTTATGTTTTCTTAATGAAATTAATTTGCCGAAAAGATCAGAGTTACTCAGTTTTCAGTGGCATTTTTAAGTAGGTTCCAAGGTTATCTATGTTGCTAGAGCACAGAAGAAAGAAGAGCGCGAGCAGATTTTGCGTCGCCAGTTTGAGGAGAAACGAAAGGAGCAAATAATGAAATACCAGGTATCCTTGCTGCTTATTTCTCTCATTGGGAGGGATTATGTACTTTTATTTTTAATTTTTCTTTCGCGGGTAAAATTTTATTGTCCACTTTTTAATTGTAGGGTTCAAATGTCTATGTCAAGAATTTTGATGATGATGTCACTGATGACGAGCTGCGAGAACACTTCAGCCAGTGTGGCACGATCACCTCTGCAAAACTAATGCGAGATGAAAAAGGAACCAGCAGGGGGTTTGGGTTTGTCTGCTTCTCAACTCCTGAGGAGGCCAATAAAGCTGTGAACAATTTTCATGGTGAGTACCATGAATATATAAGCTTATGGATGTAATGTAGATGTCATTGAATTAAGATGCATTAACATTCTTCTACTTGGTCATGCAAATTGGTTGACATGTTTTGATCTGAAAGAAGCTATTATGCTAATGTTTAATTTTGTATAATGGAATATAACTTGCCATTTGAATAATATACGTGACTGTGGATAATGGAATAGTATACGTGACTGTGGATATGAATTCAAAAAGCGGTCTGATTCTCTTCTACTATATTGAATTCATATAACTATAAAATAAATAAATAATATCACTGGAGTTGTTGTTTGCATCATAATTCAGCAAGACAATAACAGATAGTTGTGAATTGGAAGTACCTTAAAGTGTTTTCAGATCATAATTTTCATTGGCGATGATTGTTATCATTAGAATTTTATTGTATAACTATGTTTCTGGCCTCAGATATTCTTATCTATCAATTGCTTTTCAGATTTAGATATGGCAAACTGTTGAGATTTTGTTTTGATTAGCACTAAGATATTCACAACGTATTGGCAAACTGTTCCATATTTGTGAGGTCTTTTATGCATGTGGGCCCAACTAACATAATTTGTCAATAAACCCTTTTTACAGATGCCATGTATCACCACATAATGGTACTACACTCAACATATTCTACACTTCTTCATTCATTTGTGTATGTATGATGCTTTCTCACTTAATAGTCAATATAATTTAAAGAGAGAAAATAATTGAGAAAATTAAATAACTAAGTACTTCTGTAATCTTGTTTTTTTTTTTGATAGAAGTACTTTGAATCGAATATCTCCAACTATTTTCCATTCTTTTGGTCATTAAAGTTTTATAGGAAACAATTGTCCTTATATGGGCTGGAACTTAGATTTTGTTCAGAAATACATGTTATCTAGGACTAGGATACACTTTCAATTATCTCATCATTGGTGTTTAACAGGATTCATGTTTCGTAAGAAGCCTCTATATGTGGCTATTGCTCAAAGGAAAGAGGAGAGGCAAGCCCAATTACAGATTCATTATGCGCAGCGTCTGGCACGACTAGTGGGACCTTCAACTGTTTTTCCTGGGGGATATCCTTTTTATTATGCAGCTCATGGTGTTGTTTCACACGTACCTCCACAACTGGGGATGATGTATCAACCTCTTGCTTTGACGCCAAGATGGAGGGGTAATGGATCTTCACCTCCAGCCAGACCAGGTTTTCATCTGTCACCGTTTCCTGTGGTTAGTACTCAAGTATTCACTATAGCACTTACTCAAGCTTTTGGTATGTGTCAATGTTATTCAAGTGTTTGGTCTTTCTCATATTTTCTGTATATACCCGATTGATTAGGAACATTAAGCTATGTTTGAATGATGGGAATCTTCAGGAGGAATGAGAACCTCATTACTAGTAATAAAATTTTTGTGTTAATGTTATTCAAGTTTTTGGTACATGTCAATGTTATTCAAGCATTTGGTTTTGTTAGGAATCTTTAATGGGAAAATAATAAAATTTTAAATATTGTGGGCCTAATAAAATTTCGAGATTATTGTCATTCAAGCATAGCCTTAATGTATTTGATTATGTCAAATATGTCTTGTTTGTTACACTCAATTTTTCTTTTTCAGATTTCTAATACTCCAAGACGACATAGGCAAAACAGGGGAAGGATGAATGGGCATATGCTTCCACAGCATGGTGGTCATATTGTTTCTTCTGTTCCACATGTGCAACAGTCCTCTCAGTCAGTGGCCTCATCAAAAGATTCAAGCAAGCAACAGGTCTGCTTGTTTTTTTTTTTTTTTAAGTCAAATTGTTCTTATAACCTCTCTTATTATTTTGTCTTCGTTTACATTATTTACTGTTCATGGTGATTGATTTCCTGGTTTGTATCTCTTACACTATTAGTTTAGACAAAATAGTTAAGTGTGTAATTCATGGAATGGAATCAATGGTTGGAGTTAGTCACTGACTATGAAGCATGGGTACTTTAAAAATAGTGCCGTATGAGTACCGGGTACTTACCGGGTGCGGGTACACATACCGGTACGGCGGTATGTGTACCGGGTACGGCAAAAGGGGGTTCGGGACATTTGGTTCATTTGGATACGGCATGGGTACACCATGGGTACACTGGGACCATTTTTTTTTTTTTTTTTGTGAATAAGTCATAAATAAAAAAAAAAAATTTACAAGGTTACAGGTTCCCTTGCAGATCAACAATTTTGATGTTTCTCTGTTGTCCTGTCTATTTGTATGAATTGTATAAGCATATCAGCAAATGATTTTGATGTTTTTAAAAAGCAATTTGAACAAAAAAAATAACAAGGCCTATAAAGGGCAGTTCTGTGTATGACTATGTATTATGCTTTTGATCCTCCTAGAATTTCTTTATAAAATGTTTAATCATAACAAACTTTTAAAGTTTATGCAAAAAACATTAAAAATTGATACGGTATTAGTTGATTAGTAGTGATTGGGAATGATGCAATTTTATGTATTATGCAAATTGCAATTGACAACCTACCTTAATTGAGATTTTTTTTTTCCTTTACTGTTGGCAATTAATTTTAAATCTTTCTTTGGTCTCCTGTTATTTCTTTGGTCTCACCCTATAAAAATAGCAAATTGATGAGCAAAAAGAAAGATTTTAAAAATAAATTATCATAACAAATTCATAGTGCATAACATGTCAAAGTGAGAGATTTCACAAATATTATTTTTAACGCTTAATGGTTTTAAATTATAGGAAAATTAGTAGTTCTCTTTTTAGTTTTGATATTTAATTTTAATTTGTAGGTTGGATCCTTTAACCATAATTATATAAAAATATATATATATATCGGCGTACCGCAGTCGTACCCGTATCATACTTTTTTTAAGTTTTGCCGAATCGACGTACCCGCACTCGTACCTGTACCATACTCGTACCCGCACCCGTGCTTCCTAAGTCACTGATAAGTTGGACTGTTTGTATTGAGTTTTCTGAGGACACTTTCGGTCATATGAGATGTCTACTTGATATGCTTCTAACAAACTACTGGTTTTAGGGATGGGACTGAAATAAGGAATATTTAATCCTTTAACTTGACAGCCATCTATGCCTAAGGTTTTAAAAAGCAGTCGCAACCGTTACGTAACGGTTGTGGTGGTTACTGCCACCTATTATGGCCGCTATAGCAGTGTGACGAAAATTCACATATGTAAGGGTCGTTTCGGTGTTACATAACAGCCGTAGTGGTACTGTAACGACCATAATGGTCTATTAGACACCGTTACACCCAAGGTTTCAAAATACGGTGTTACGTAACGGTTGCGACAATAGGCACCACATGTTACCCTCGCTTTTGCGGTGTGATTGAGATTCACAGGTGTGTCGGCTATAGCGGCTGTCGTAGCAGTCGTAATGGTGCCGTAACGGCCTGTTACACACCGTTACGTAACGGTTCCGAACTATTTCTTTCGAAAAAAAACAAAAAAACAAAAAAACTGAAAATGGGGGAAGAGGGATAGAGAGAGAAGAGGGAAAATGAAGAACATGTTATTGATTTGTTGAAGTTGTAAGACCTATGCTATTCTATTCGACTGCTATCACTCAACCATTTTGTTTGTGTGTGTCTATCTATATATTGTTTGAAGAAAATAATAATAATAATAATAATTTAATTTATATTTTATTCACAAATCATTCATCTAATTTAAGATCCAAACACAATACAAATGGACGGGGAGATTCCTAATCCATTCAAGAATATAAATGAACAATTCTAGCTTGTTAATACAAATTAGGGGCTGTATTGGTTGGCTTCATCAATGGCATCAAGTCTAAAATTGTTTATTAGGATAAATTACAAATACACTTCTTGAGGTTTACTTAAATTACAAATTATTTCTTGTAATTTTAGAAATTACATTATGCCCATTAAGGTTTCTAATTTCATAACAAATAGATAAAATTGAAAAAAAAAAACATCTTTATAATTTATTTTTTAATTTTATATGATTACATTAGCATGTATAATTTATTTTTTAAAACCATTCAAGTTAAAATTTGCATATGCTTCCACAAATATAATAATTAAAAAAATAATTTTATACATCTAAGTCCAATAATTTTTTTTTTGCCACAAGTGTAATATGGATTTATGACATATAAAATCATCAATTATTGAAATAAAATGTTAAAAAACTTAGTTTATAGTGATTTAAAAATATGAAATATATTGGATCATACTTAAAAATTTATAAAAATTGATCAATATTTATTTTAAAACCCAATAAATATGATTATGAAAAAATATATATATAATTATCGGTAATTTTTTTTTTAAATTATGCGAAAAATAAAAAATTCACAATTCCGGTTACCGCAACCGTTACGTTATCCCACAACCACAACCGCACCACCGCCATCGTGGCGACCACAGCCGCTTTTCAAAACCTTGCCTATGCCCCTTATGCATCCAAATTCTCATCACCCTACCTCTAGTGTGATATAGCAATAACAATGATTATAGACACTGCCATGAGATTTGAGAGACACTTATTGTTCTGTAATTGATTCACGAATTTCTACTCTCATTCAGTGACCAAGCCAACCTCTTAAATAACAAAATGTTGTACTACTAGACTTGTAATCTTTAAAAACCAGCAACAAAGGATACATGATGAACAGTTGGCTGGCTTCACCTCTTCTTGCATATAAGATGCTATGAAAATTTTGTATTCATGTGGGTAGAGAACAGAAGCAAACTACCCATGTGCTACAAATTCTAACATCTATAAACAATTGTTTGCAGCATGCTGGGCAAGTAAGGTATGTGCCAAATGCATGTGTGGATGAAATGAACAAAGGATCTGAAATTTCATCTCCTGTTTCCAGTTCAGTCGGATCTGGTTCTGAAGGCTCCGAAATGTTGAGCAGCAAGCTTGTTGCCGCTCCCCCTGAGCAACGGAAACAAATACTTGGGGAGCGGCTTTACCCTCTTGTCCAGAAACACAAGGTAATATTGGTTTAGATATACTCTGGTTGTTTTCATTTATTACAAGATAGCCTTTTTAGTATGTATTTATAATGAAAATGTACATGTTATATATTAGATGATGTGAAGTTTTTACTTCATGCTTTGTTTTGTTATCTTTCACCAATTTTGATGTGAAAGTAGTTCGTAAAGGCATTAAGTGTTGCATAATTATCAAGGGAAACTTAAGAGGTCTGTTTGGGGTGAGCTAAATAAGCCAAAAAGCCAAAAATCTGTTTGTCATTAGCTAAAAATGTTATAAAGCCACTCAACTTTTTTACTCACAAAAGAGCAACTTTTTTAGCAAGCTTTTTGAGATTCTAAAAAAGTCAAAATGCCACTAAAAAAAGTCAATGTCAAACAACCTTTTAGAGGCCTGACTTTGAAAATTTCAATGGAAAATTTAACATAAGCTTGCAATATATTTTCAGTTCCTTTTAAGGAAGATAAGAGGCCCTTTGTAGTTGTTGTATTGTCACAATGGCTGAATTCCCCTAAATCTAAACTAAGTTTGTGTCTGTTGCAGCCTGATCTTGTTGCAAAGATAACGGGAATGCTTTTGGAGATGGACAACTCAGAATTGCTTCTCTTATTGGAGTCACCAGAGTCACTTGCTGTCAAGGTGGAAGCAGCTGTGCGGGTACTCAAGATCTCAAACACAAATCTATCTGACGAGGACTCGCTTCATTCTAGTTACCTATCCGCTGAGGTTGCAGTGAACTGAAAAGAAAGTTGTGCCTGATTACAATAATGTTAGAAATACTAATTAGTATACCAACCAACGTACCAACTAGACACAATGTTAAGTGGGTCCCTTGCCAAGTGATTGTTTCTATATGCATGTTTGGCATCTTAGTTGGTATGTTTGTTGGTTACACTAATTAGTGTTTTTGGCATTACTGTAATACTTGTAGAGGATATGTTGCGGCACAAGCTCTCATGAGCAAGTTTCATGGTAGTTACCTTCAGTGAACCTTTATGCATTTCTTCAGATACTTTTTCTATTCAGTTTTATTCACAGTATGGAATGAATATTTATATCTTTGAACATTTCTGATTGACAACTTAAGGAGTTGTTGACAAACTTTGATATTTTAATTACAGTATTAGTTTCAATTCTTAAAGAAGTCTTTTGAAAACTAAATGCTGATCTTGTTTTTACTGAATCTAATTTTTCATTCAACTGATGCTTTCTGTTGCAGAATTTCATTGTTTAACTTTAATTGTTGAATTTTTTATGTTGTGTTTAGATTTTTGATTTGTAAAGAGATTTGAGGAGGAGAAGGGAAAAGGGTGGGAAAAAGTTATATACAAAAAATAAAAATAAAAAATCTCACTTTTCCCTTCATTTTCCATCCTCTCCGTAAATTCCTATACAAATTTAAGATCGAAACATAACCTTTATTCTAAGACTAACGTTAATTTTCTACAACAGAATCCTCCTTTATTAATAGATGGATTAGTTTTTGTCAACTTTCCCCTTGCTTTTGCCTTTGTCGAATTAGTCTAGTTGTCATGGCAGTGATTACCTAATGGCAACAGAAGTGGGTTGAGCTAGAAGTAGGATTTTCAATGATGATAATGAGGAAAAAGATGAAGACCACCCCATTGTGCATGAATCAGCACTACTGGTACTACCATTCTTGCTAATGAAAACCACCTGGGTATTTTGTTAAACAGTTGGTCTGCAACCTCCATATCATGTTCTCCCTCAACCTTATAAGTCCATGTTCTCTTTGTATTTTGTTCAAGTGTTGGGGGTTGGGATTTGTGTTGGCATGAGTTGTAAAATGAGAGTGAGTGTGGCATGAGTTGTAAAGCAAGTGTGCATGTGGCATGAATTGTAAAGCAAGAGTGCATGTGGCATGAGTTGTAAAGAAAAGGGATTGTCTAGAATAAACTCTGTATGATAGTCTATATATATGGACTTGTATTTCATAGAAAAAAAATGAATAAGAGCTATACAGTTGTTCCATGTCTCTACAATTTGGTGGGAGGTTGATGGGGGATCCATTGGGTTTATAGAGAAGGGGCTTATGCTAATGGTGGTAGTGGAAGTGAGTAAATGGTAGAGAGAGACAACAAGAAGAAGAATATGAGGGGATGTGGTGAGGAGAGGTTGCAATGGATGGTGGAGCAGCAGCCGTTGTGTTATCTGTACATCTTGCTGGAATATAAAAAATGGTGGTGTTTTGATAGGGTGCAATTGAGTCGAGTTTTTGAGTGTTTAAACTCGTTTGTTAAGAATTAGTCGAGTTTCAACTTGAGCATAAAAAATAAAGTTTAAGTTTGAGCTTGAAGCTTGACTTGTCAAGAATTTGAGAAATTCAAGCTCAGTTATTTGAGAAATTTAAGTTTAGTTGATTTTTTTGTAATGGCTTTTTGATTTTTTTTAATTATTTTAGTAGAGTGCCAAAACAACCCTGAATTACATAAACGAGCTTGTACTTGAAAAAAAAAAAAAATGCTTAAACTAATTTACTTATTAAGGTAAAATAGAGGAAAATTATAAAAATAAGGGCAAATCTCAATTAAGTGTAAATTTATAAAAATATTTTCAAATTAATGATAAATTACATATATACACATTAAAAAAATGCTTATAATAATAATAATTTTTATCAATCAAATATATAAATTACACAAATACCCCACACAAATAAAAAATTAAAATAAATTAATAAAAATTGATTTAATATCTATACTATTATTAAAAAGGAACAGCTTCTTTGAAGTTCTTAAGCCAGTACTTTAGAATTTTTTCCTTTAATTTTTCCTAAAATGACCTTAACTTCGTAGTTACACTTACATCATTTTATAATTAAGGATAAAATAATAAATTAAAACTAATCGATTCTACTCTCTCACTCCCCAAGTCTCCAAACTGCTGTGCAGTTCTATATCGGTGTCAACATTTGAAAAGTTCTAAAACATGCTTTTCATGGAACTGCATTTGTTTTGATGGATGGATGCTAGGTTTTTGAAAGCGTCCCTACGGATATGTGATTGATTGTAAACGCCCTTTGATGACGTGGAGGGTTGCGAGGCTTATGCAAAGATGGGTTACAAGACCCTAGGTTCCAGATGGATTCACAATCACATTTTATGGAAAATGCTGAGAGGGGTGGTCACTGAAGTCAAAACTATTCACTATGAGAAATTTTTATATTTTTTTATATTTTTGGGGAAAGACTATATAGTATACAACAATGTGGCAATTTTATGCTTCTCTTGCAAGTTTGTGGAATAGTTATCCAAAGTACATATCTATTATCTTATATTACACTGTAAGTATAATATTGTTAATTATATTTTTATTTTTTTCACTAAAAAATTTCATTATTTAGGCTTGGTTTGGCATAACCGAAAAAAGTCAAAAAGTCAAAAAGTCACTATCCTATTTAAGTCACATCATCCTATTTAAGTCACATCACCTCTCTACCACATCACTTCAAACCCAATCCATATCCAACTCATATTTCATAAAAAGTCAAAAAGTGCACTTATTTAGTTTATCTCAAACAACCCCTAAGAGGACACGGGGGGAGGCATAAGAAAATACAGAGAGATTTCTTGAGTTTGTATTTTCTATTTTGTATGTTTCTTTCCTTGTTTCACTTTTGTTTGTTTCCCCTACTTTTTGAACTCAATTTTTTTAAGATTCTACATTTTAATTTGACCCAGGTGTGAAGTTTTAGTAAAAAATTGTATATAAGTGCATTTAATTGCTGTGATTTTATTTTTAAATTGTTAAATTTTTTTTGCATATCAAAAATTGTTTCAATGTTGTTGTTTATTTTTCTTTATGTCTATCAAATCTATTTGACTGGCACCGTTTGGGAAGTGATTTTGTGGATTTTTTTGGTTGTTTTAGCCACAAAAGACAAAATAGGTTATTTTAACCACAACAAACAAAACATCACATCCAACCCATAATCATTACACTCTTCTCTCACAAAAAAAGTCAAAAAAGTCAAAAAGCCAAAAAGCTCTTCCCAAACCAAGCTTTTTAGCCTAGGCTAAAATAGTCAAAAAAGTCAAAAAATCAAAAAGTCAACCCACTTCCCAAACCAACCCTAAGTGTCTTAGGTTTGTACTTTTCTATTTTGTGTGCTTCTATATATTTATATTTATTTATTTTTCTAAAAATTGCAAAGCATTAAATGTGTGCAATTATTTAGACTTAGACTTAAATAGTTTGGGTTTTTTTTCTGTTTTACTTTTTTAAGCTTTTGTTTGTTTTTGTGTATAAATTCATTTTTTTAAAATTTGATTTGTTTGTTTGTGTGTGTTTTAAAATATAAAGTCCATTGTTCTATGCGTTTTGGATTTGTATGTTTTTCTATTTCGTGTGCTTTTGAATTTTTATATTCAATTTTTTTTTTTAAATTGCGAAGCAGAAAATGTGTGCAATATTTTAGACTTAAAAAGTTTGGGGCTTTTTTCCTATTTAACTTTTTTAAGCTTTTTTTTTATTTTTGTGTATAAATTCAGTTTTTGAAAATTTGATTTGTTTGTTTACTTAATTTTTTGTGCGTGTGTATTTTTTTTAAAAAAAAAATCAATGTTCTTAATTTTGTATTTGTGTGTTTATAATTTATGTTTTGAAAAAATTGGTTTGTTTGGTTGGTTGATTTCTTGAGTTTGTATTTTCTATTTTGTATGTTTCTTTCCCTGTTTCACTTTTGTTTGTTTTCCCTATTTTCTGAACTCAATTTTTTTAAGATTCTACATTTCAATTTGACCCAGGTGTGAAGTTTTAGTAAAAAATTGTATATAAGTGCATTTAATTGTTGTGATTTTATTTTTAAATTGTTTTTTTTTTTTTTTGCATATCAAATCTGTTTCAATGTTTTTGTTTATTTTTCTTTATGTCTATCAAATCTATTTGACTATGAGTGTTCTAAGTGTCTTAAGTTTGTACTTTTCTATTTTGTGTTCTGCTATATATTTATTTTTTATTTTTTTTCCTAAAAATTGCAAAGTATTAAATGTGTTCAATTATTTAGACTTAGACTTAGACTTAGACTTAAATAGTTTGGGGTTTTTTCTGTTTCATTTTTTTAAGCTTTTGTTTGTTTTTGTGTATAAATTCATTTTTTAAAATTTTGATTTGTTTGTTTGTATGTGTTTTAAAATAAAAAGTCCATTGTTCTATGCGTTTTGGATTTGTATTTTTTTCTATTTCGTGTGCTTTTGAATTCTTATATTCAATTTTTTTTTTTAAAAAAAAAAAAATTGCGAAGCAGGAATTGTGTGCAATATTTTAGACTTAAAAAGTTTGGGACTTTTTTCCTATTTAACTTTTTTAAGCTTTTGTTTATTTTTGTATATAAATTTAGTTTTTGAAAATTTGATTTGTTTGTTTACTTAATTTTTTTTGTGTGTGTGTGTGTTTTTTTTTAAAAAAAAAATCAATGTTCTTAATTTTGTATTTGTGTGTTTATAATTTATGTTTTGAAAAAATTGGTTTGTTTGGTTGGTTGATTTCTTGAGTTTGTATTTTCTATTTTGTATGTTTCTTTCCCTGTTTCACTTTTGTTTGTTTTCCCTATTTTCTGAACTCAATTTTTTTAAGATTCTACATTTCAATTTGACCCAGGTGTGAAGTTTTAGTAAAAAATTGTATATAAGTGCATTTAATTGTTGTGATTTTATTTTTAAATTTTTTTTTTTTTTTTTGTTGTACATATCAAATCTGTTTCAATGTTGTTGTTTATTTTTCTTTATGTCTATCAAATCTGTTTGACTATAAGTATTCTAAGTGTCTTAGGTTTGTACGTTTCTATTTTGTGTGCTTCTATATATTTACATTTTTTTTTCTAAAAATTGCAAAGCATTAAATGTGTGGAATTATTTAGACTTAGACTTAAATAGTTTGGGGTTTTTTTTGTTTCACTTTTTTAAGCTTTTGTTTGTTTTTGTGTATAAATTCATTTTTTTAAAATTTGATTTGTTTTTTTGTGTGTGTTTTAAAATAAAAAGTCTATTGTTCTATGTGTTTTGGATTTGTATTGTTTTCTATTTCGTGTGCTTCTGAATTTTTATATTCAATTTTTTTTTTAAATTACGAAGCAGAAAATGTGTGCAATATTTTAGACTTAAAAAGTTTGGGGCTTTTTTCCTATTTAACTTTTTAAAGCTTTTGTTTATTTTTGTGTCTAAATTCAATTTTTGAAAATTTGGTTTGTTTGTTTACTTAATTTTTTGTGTGTGTGTGTGTGTGTTTTTTTTTAAAAAAATCAATGTTCTTAATTTTGTATTTGTGTGTTTATAATTTATGTTTTGAAAAAATTGGTTAGTTTGGTTGGTTAGTTTTGTGTGTGTGTGTGTGTGTGTGTGTTTTCAAAAAAAAAAAAATATATTATGTTTTCAATAAAATTGGTTTTTTTGTTTGCTTAATTTTATGTCTTCAAAAGATGTTCTATTGTTTGTATTTGCGTAGGCTTCTTTGAACAGTTTCGTACCGTGTGCGTTATTCGAAAAAATATGAATTTTATCTTATAACTCCAAACGAATTTGCACACGCATCACGTGTGCCCGATTGCTAGTATTATTAAAAACAAATATTAATTCATTTTTTTATATGCACAACCTTTTATCAAGTTGAGTTTGAATCTATTCGAATTCAACTCAATTACTAAACAAGTTTAAAAACCGAGCTCAAGCGAGCCAACCAAACTCCAACTCTTCATAAACAGTTTGATTTAGACTTAGACTTAAACAGTTTGGGGTTTTTTCCGTCTCACTTTTTTAAGCTTTTGCTTGTTTTTGTATATAAATTCATTTTTTTTTAAAATTTGATTTGTTTGTTTATGTGTGTTTTAAAATAAAAAGTCCACTGTTCTATGTGTTTTGGATTTGTAATTTTTTTCTGTTTCGTGTGTTTCTGAATTTTTATATTCAATTTTTTTAAAAAAAAATTGTGCACCAGAAAATGTGTGCAATTTTTTAGACTTAAAAAGTCAGGGGCTTTTTGCCTATTTAACTTTTTTAAGCTTTTGTTTATTTTTGTGTATAAATTCAGTTTTTGAAAATTTGGTTTGTTTGTTTACTTAATTTTGTGTGTGTGTGGTTTTTTTTTTAAATTTTTTTTTAAAAAAATCAATGTTCTTAATTTTGTATTTGTGTGTTTATAATTTATGTTTTGAAAAAATTGGTTTGTTTGGTTGGTTAATTTTTTGTGTGTGTGTTTCAAAAAAAATAAAAATATTATGTTTTCAATAAAATTGGTTTGTTTGTTTGCTTAATTTTATGTCTTCAAAAGATGTTCTATTGTTCGTATTTGTGTAGGCTACTTTGAACAGTTTCGTACCGTCACATCTGTGAGCATTATTCGAAAAAATATGAATTTTATTTTATAACTCCAAACGACGTGTGCCCGTTTGCTAGTATTATTAAAAACAAATACTAATTCATTTTTTTATATGCACAACCTTGTATCAAGTTTTGTTTGAATCTATTTGAATTCAACTCAATTACTAAACAAGTTTAAAAACCGAGCTGAAGCGAGCCACCCAAACTCAAGCTCTTCATAAACAGTTTGATTTGTTTACAAGCTGCCTATTTTGGTTGTTGGTAGAAGGTGCTGGGAATATGTAATGGTTGTTGAAGCTATGGCGAAAGGAGTGGAGGAGAAGAAGATAGAAAAAAATATAAAATGAGGAAATGAGAAGACTTCAATATAGTAAATGTAAGGTAAAGATAAAGAAAATACAATCAGTTCTATATTTTTAACATAATTATATTAGTATTTCTTGAAGTTTTACTTTGCATAATAGTTAGATTATTTTTTATTAATAATTTGTTAGTCATATAAATAAATAAACGATATTACAATATTTTCATTTTAAAATGTATATTTATCATTTATTTATTTTAGTATTTACTTATTATTTATATTAATTTTAGTTACTTTGATTTTAGAGATCAATATAATTATTAACTGATTTTAGAGATCAATATAATTATGTTAAAAATATAAAATTAATTGTATTTTTTTTTCTAAATCTCTGAGGTGAGTATAATTTATCCCTATAATAATTTTACATTGTTTATCTTAGTGTTTTAGAACAATTTTATACATATGCATGACATGAATTATGATGGGGTTAATACCAAATGAGTTAAGTCTTGCGTAAGCAGTTTAAGCAAGCCCTAGGTTGACCTGGATGTATTCAGACTCTATGCGGCGGTTTCAGGATGTAAGCGAGCCCTTTGGTATGGTATGTGCAGGGTGTAAGCGAGCCCTTTGGTATGGTATGTGCAGGGTGTAAGCGAACCCGAGGCACGATTTGGGTGTAAGCGAGCCCACTTGTTGGCCGTCCCTTTTGAGGTCCATCAATGCCACTGACAAGTAAATAATCAGAAGGTGGGCATAGGTGGTAAGGTCTGCAAAGCAGCAAAAGGGGGAGTTCTGAATAGTCTGGTGTTCAATCCTTGTGGTTGGGTGGAAGGATCTCTTTGGGGGGTCCTAAATGCCTAGTCTAACTACTGATTTATAAAACCTTAATGTAAGTATGTTATGTTACTTGATTTGTTTTGTGTATGATTGATTGATAGAAGATATGGGGGTGTGTGTGTTTTTACTGGACATTCCAAGCTCATGGCGTGTCATGCCAGGTGAAGAAGCAGCTTACGACGGGGAAGGTTATCCCGAAGACAATCAAGATGAAGTATTAGAGCCGTGGTTCACTTGAAAATTAGACTAGTAGTTGTTTTTTGTGTTCTCTCTTCTTTTACCTTTTAGTTTGACAATATTTGTAAACCTCTAGTGGAACTCAAATCAGTTATCCATGTTATAACTCCGCTTGTATGTGTATATTAACGTATTGTGGTTATCTATTTTGTTTGAGTTGTACTTTATATATTTCTCTTGCGGTCTCAAATTTTGGGGCGTGACAAGAAGCGTGTTTTTAATATAAATAAAAAAAATATGTTGAAAGAAACACACTCTGTTTATTTTTAAAAAAAATTATATTGAAAGTGTATGTCGTAAAAGAATCACGTATTTACAAAATAAACTTTCATTAATTATTTTAAAAAATAAAATTTTATTTATGAAACATATTTTCTATTAATTATTTAAAAAAATTATGATAAAAATGTATTTACAAAAATACAACACTATTAAATATTTAAAATTAAATAAAAATATATTTACGAAATACATTTTCTATTTCAACATACTTTCTATAGTTTTTTTTAAAAAAATTATTAAAAAAATGTAATATACATATTTTCAAAAGACTTAAAAATTATTAAAAAAATGTAAAATACTTATTTTCAATAGACTTTCTATTAATTATTTAAAAAAAAAACTATGATGAAAACATATTTTGTTTTTATTTAAAAAGAATTTATTTGTAAATGCGTTTTTATCACAATTTATGAAAATGTATTTACCAAATATGTTTTCAGCTTTTAATTAAAAAAAATTATGATTTTAATTTTTTTATTAGTTATTTAAAAAAATTATGAAGAAAATGTAAACTTATTTACAAGACACGTTTTCTTAATGATTTTTTTTTTTTTCAAAAGCAAATACATTTTCATGAAAACGTATTTAGCAAATACGTTTTGATCTATTTTGGAAATTAATTTTAAGAACAACCTAGATTTTTATTTTTGGATTAAAAAAATCCAAATTGGTTAATGAGTTGGGTGAGTTGGCAAAAGAGAGAGAGAGAGAGAAAATGAATGAATGAACAAAAAGGAAAGAAAATAAGGTGGGTGAGTGGGAATTAGAAACATTTTGACCTTAGGATGAATTTGGAAATTAATTTTAGCCATTGATACAAAATTCATCTTTTAGACATTTTAACACATTTTCAAAAACAGTCATACTTTATTATATATATAAAATATCAGCCGTAATTCATACACCCAGTGGGGGTAGGAAGCATTTCTGATAAAATATATGGTGGAGAATGAGAGTGAAATGAGAAGATTGGACTAATCCCGGAGTGCCACCTCACTTGGGGTCGACCCCCAGTGGGGGTAGGAAGCATTTCTGATAAAATATATGGTGGAGAATGAGAGTGAAATGAGAAGACTACTCTCTATCTGTTGCTTGTTTTCTCGTTCATGATCTTCTTTCTTCTTTCTCATTGCTACTGTTTTTTGTTTTTTTTTTTTGAATTTTTGCCCCAAAATAACGTCATTTTGGAGCGCTACAGGGAGAGGGGAACCCTACAGTCTACAAAGGATCCAAACCTTGTTTGTAGTGATGGCCACATGGTGGGTTTGGAGCGAGTTTGTCATTCCCTATCTTTGCCCTCGTGGATAAACCCTGCCCCCGCCCCAACCCTGTTACAGGTGGAAAATTTTAACTCCATCCCTACGGATACCTGATTATGTTTCAAATAGTCAAAAAAATTGAGAATCATTTAAATCCTTAACACTTGTCCCACACTCAATTCCAATGAATTAATTAAATTGAACTTGTCCCACACTCAATTCCAATGAATTAATTAAATTGAACTTGTCCCACACTCAATTCCAATGAATTAATTAAATTGAACTTGTCCCACACTCAATTCCAATGAATTAATTAAATTGAACTTGTCCCACACTCAATTCCAATGAATTAATTAAATTGAACTTGTCCCACACTCAATTCCAATGAATTAATTAAATTGAACTTGTCCCACACTCAATTCCAATGAATTAATTAAATTGAACTTGTCCCACACTCAATTCCAATGAATTAATTAAATTGAACTTGTCCCACACTCAATTCCAATGAATTAATTAAATTGAACTTGTCCCACACTCAATTCCAATGAATTAATTAAATTGAACTTGTCCCACACTCAATTCCAATGAATTAATTAAATTGAACTTGTCCCACACTCAATTCCAATGAATTAATTAAATTGAACTTGTCCCACACTCAATTCCAATGAATATATATATTTCTTATTGATTGATGACAAATTAATAATTAGTAAATACCTTGTTTGAATGAGTAGAAAATTGAAACCAAAACTGCTCATCATTAATTTCCAATCAGTTTTATACCACATCCTCATTCTCTTCACTCTCTCTTTCTCCCCGATTGGGGATCAAACTGTTCCTCCTCTTCTCTCTCTCTCTCTCTCTCTCTCTCCAGGAAGCCCTAACAGCGACTACCCTGCCAAACTAAGACTTCACTACAAATATGGAGACCCACGGAAGCAGCAAGACCAAGAGCAAGAGGAAGAGAGAAGCTTCGTCTTCCAAGACCAGTCAAAGCAGAAGCAGAAGCCGAAGAAAATCCGACGACGACGACGACTCCGAGACCGATAGCCGCGGCTCGTTAACGCCGAGCCACCACCGCTCTCACAAGCGGAGTCTCAGCCGCCGGAGCGCTTCGAGGGATTCGGATGATTCCGACGATGGAAGTGATCTTGAGAGGAAGCGGAAGAGGTCGTCTTCGAAGAAGGTTACGGATGAGGACATTGCTGATTACTTGGCCAAGAAAGCTCAGAAAAAGGTACTGTTTTTATGATTGATTGATTGATTGATTTTTTTTTTTCTAATTTTTTTTTTGTGGGTTTGGTGTCTAGGGTTTTTGTTGTTGATTGTTATGGTGGTTTGAGTTTTGATGCTTTTAGGCTCTTAAAGTCGCGAAGAAATTGAAGTCACAGACTGTGTCTGGTTATTCCAATGATGCCAATCCCTTTGGTGATTCCAATCTCAATGAAAAGTAAGTTCATTCTTCGTTTCTACATTGAGTTATTCTGATATATTTCAATTTTGATAAACAATTCTTAGTTTTATGTAGAGTTCAATCTAGATTTTAGGTAATTCTGTTTTCATGTCCTGAAAAGTTGAGGACTGAAACTTTTGATGGCTATAGGAGAAGATGCACAAAGGGTCATTCTTAATAACCACTCAAATCCAAATTTAAAACATTACACTGGAGTTCTTCTGCTATTGTGGTTTATAATTTTATCTGATATGGCGGGTAGAAAATCGAGCTACTAGCAACTGTGATGCGTGTACTTATAAAAAATGAAGGGTTGTGGTGCCTCTCAAACTCTATATATGTTATGAAGAGATGCATTTATTATGTAGTCGAAATCTACTAGGAAACCTTCATGTGTAGTATTTTGTTACCTAATTATATGGAACTATGTTTCTTATAGGTAGACTATTATAAATATTCATGTGGACTATAGGATTTTCTTGAGAGAGATTGAAGGGAAAAAAATAGAGATGTAAGGGGGGTGAGAGAACAAGTACTGTGAGGGCACCGGGGTGAGGTTTTGAGTGTTTTGGCTATCTCACATGTATTTTCTATCTTTATCATAGGGGAATCTCTCTCCCGTCGATGTAACCAATTTGGGTTGAACCACGTAAATCCATATGTGATTTTTTTTCTCTTTGGTGTGTGCATGGTGTGCTTCCGTTTGCGATGATAGGGTGTGGTATAAATTCCCAACAGTTAGTAAATCACCAAGAAGTGGGAATGCTTTTGATCAATATTAAATGAATGGAAAAGTAAACGATAACATTGTTTGTGGTTGGATTTTGTAATGTTCTTTTTGCACTGCCTTTGGTTATACTTGAGAGCCACATTTGAAGTGTAATTACCTTGTTTGGGCTTTAGAATCTTTGTGTTGGTAAGTTGACGGTCCAACCTTACAACATAGTGATCTTAAAGTAAGATAATGCATTGGTTTTGTTTTGTTTCAAGGCTAACATGTGCTTGGAATTTTAGTGTTTGTAATGTGTATGGAAGGAGTTAGGGTTAAGGGTGGGAGGAACCTAATCGGTGGAAGGAGAAGGGGTGGTTTCCATGTGAAGCTTTTTATTATATCATGAATATCATGAAAAGTGAGGGGTCTAAATGGCTCAAATAAGAGGGATGCTGTGAAAGCCTCGTTGGAAAAGTGGAAAGGGGACTTAGTTTTTTTACAAGAAATTGAGTCGAAGACATGTCATTGAAGGTGGTGAGGAGTTTTTGGGGTTAGATTAGAGGTGGATAGATTTGGTGAGTTTGGGGACATTCGGATCATCAGGTTGCATCCTTGTTTTTCACATTCTAGGAATCTATCAAAAATTTATGAGGATGGGTGATCACTTAATCTCACGCTTGTTTGCATGGTGGAAGATGGGCTTTAATAGTTTCTTGTTTTTTTGAGGGTATAATCTGACTGAAGATGATAGAAGAGGTTTATGGGAGGAGCTGTTTGCTATTGAAGTTGAAATTGCTTGTGGTGTCTTGGCGGTGACTTGAGGAGATTTGTTTGGTGTCACAATAGGGCTTATTCTTCAATACCCAAGATTGATAAATTCCTTATTTCTATGGGCTGGGAATAACATTGGAGGGCCTTTCAATGGCAGAGTTGCTAAGAGCTGAGAAAAAGTGTAGTTGCGAAGGCTAATGATTTTCGAAGAGATGAACATGTGACAAAGATCTATAGCTATTTGGTATAAGGAGGGAGATTGCAATGCAATTTTAATTTTTCCATCGAATGGCCAATGCTATTGAAGAGCCAATTGTATTGGAAATATGGTTAATTGTTGGTGTTTGGTTGGCTAGGTAGGGAACCATTTTCAATGGCATTTTAGACTTCTATAAGAAATTATATTTAGAGCCTGTTATCATGAGACAGATAGGAGTTGCCTTAAGAGGACTTTTTGGACGAAGAGGCGGTAGAGGCTTTAAAAAGCCCCAAATTGGTATAAAGCTCTTAGGACAAATGATTTTTCCTTTTTTTTCCCTCCAAGAAGTGTTGCAGTGTGGTACGTTGTGAATGTTATACCATTTCAAAACCCAACATGCACAAAGAAAGAAAATCCTCAAATAACTTTTTAGAGCTTATGGCCATTTTGAAGGTGAAAACCCTAGTTCTTGCTATAGGCTAAAGCTTCATATCGGGTGAAGGGATTACTGAGAAATAAAGATGAGGAATGACTAAGATGTATTGATACTTTGACAAACATGTTGTACCCTTGTAGGGTATCGGTACTTTGCATGGTATTTCTGCATACGTATCAGGTATACGAAACACGTATCCAGTTTTTTATCCGTAAATTTTGCCGTACCCCAAAAGTACTTAGTATATGAAGTTTTTTAAAGCGGCTGTGTAACTCGAGGCGTTGTAGCCCTTTTGAGATGAGGCCTAAGCCTAAAGGAGTGAGGTGTAAGCAATTCAATTTTTAAATTTTTATATTTAGTAAATAAATTAAATATTTTAGAATAGTAAAAAATAAATATAAAGTTGTAAATACTTTTCTTCTTAAGGCGTCAAATATTTCACTGCAAATAAGAAGCTTGCCTTCATTGAAAGTGAAATTGATATTCTTAGTTTTAGTGATTTGAGTGTAACTCCCTCAAAATATGACATAAACAAACCATTCATAAGACCCATAAAATATAATAGAAACGCTATATTTTCATTCATCAGAATCTTTTTTACAAAAAATATTACATGCATTACATTTTCATAAATGTTTATCTTGAAACTATAGCATGTAACTCTAATTACTAACAGCAAAATAATTGCCCTACAGGTTTACATCTTTCTAAGTTACCATTTGGTTACAACAAAAGAAGAGTCTTAGCTCTATACATATAAAGCCCTTGGCTTGAATCAACATTTAACATCAAAAACAAAATAACGAAAAAAGCCTTCAACTCCTAAACCTCCAAAGCTAAGACCTTGGAGGCGGCATGTCACCTGTACCTGAAAAATTGTTTCCCTAGTAGGATGAGCCAAAGCCCAGTAGAGATATGCTAAACAATATATGAGAATTAACTAAGATATTAGTATCAGATAAATGTGCAACATTCCTAAGCAATACATATTCCTTTCAAGTTCAATCAATATAGACAACCAATACCTCAACTCAATTCCATTCTTCCATTTCGGATAAAATCAATTAACCAAATTCATTATTATCAAAACAACCAAAATGAGACTACTACTCAATGGTTGACAATTCAATACATTTATCAATCCAACACTTTTATTTCTTGCCATTTTACGGAACTACGTCCGAAGGAACCAGCACCCATATACATATAAGATTTTGGGACTTTCACCCTGGATATTCCGGCCAATTTAATTTTCAATGGAGTCCATCCCCTATCTCCTCCTATACAATGAAGTACATACCCTATCTCCTTCCAAACAAAGTTACATATACAATGTATTTAAACACGTTGTCATATACAATGACTAATCAAATCACATATTCAATGGTTTAATCAAACAGTCATAGTCAATGACATAATTCAATTGATTAGTTTCGATCTTCCTAATCCTCATGCAGTTTCTACCAGTGTTTTTTAAGGCGAAAAGCGAATCGAGGCGACAAGGTCACCTAACGCCTAAGTGCGAGGCGATGAGGCGAGGCGAGGCGAGGGCTTCATTGAAGCGAGGCGACCAGAAATGATATTTTTTTAAAATAAATGGTATAGACAAAAATATAAATATTTTCAAGAACCATCATGCAGTTATCATTCCAAACACTAAATATCCATAAACAAAAGAAAATATCCAACAAAGACAAATACAATCCACCAATCCAAAAGTTCTAAAAATCATCTTCAACATCAAGCAAATGAACTTCTTCATTATCATTGGTTTCAGCATATCCCTCTGCATCTTCTTCCTCTCCCCCATCTGAAATTGACTCTTCCTCATCAATAAGTTGCAATCTAGGTCTAGCTGCTGATTTTGAAGTTGAACAACCCCTTTCTATTGCCCTTGTTGATCTAGTTCTTTGACTACTTTCCTCAACTCTAGCAGCTCTAGCAACATCATCCCATGTCAAAGTATCATCCTCAAAGACAAGTTCCTTCTCCATCCTTCCAACCAACCACTCGTTACTTTCATCAATATCCGTCAAGGCAATGGGATCAATAGTGTCACGGGAATTGTATCGACATCTCAATGCTCTATTATACTTAACAAATACCAAATCATTCAGACGTTTTTGAGCTAACCTATTTCTCTTTTTGGTGTGAATCTGCAAAAATTCAAACCAAATAAAAATATTCAAATTTTTATCTAGGTATTAAATAAATTTATAGGTATTCATATTCACTATAGTTAAAAATAGGTACTCACATGTTCAAACACACTCCAATTCGGCTCACGTCCAGATGAGCTACAAGTTAGACTAAGAATTTTGATGGCGAATGTTTGCAAATTTGGCGTTTCAGATCCATATGCACTCCACCAATCAGCTGTTGATTATAACTAATTAATTAGAAAGAATATTTAAATTATAAAAAACTAACTAAAATTACTTAAGTATAAAATATAGATCACCTGGTGCCCTTGTAGTTCTTTGTCTAATGGCCAAAGCCATCCCAAAGAGACCATCAGCTTTCTTATAGGTAGTCAACTCTACGCAAACTTTATCTTGTGTCTCATTACTTGGGACCAACCTTTGTATGCATTTATACAGGCCTGACATGACTTCCTTATCTTTCTCAATATTCGGATTTGCGTAAAAATACTCTGGGTTTAAATAATACCCAGCTGCATGCAACGGCCTATGCAATTGAACATTCCATCTATTGTCAATTATTTCAAAAAACTCCTTGTACTTCTCTTCATTTCCATTAAATGATTTTGCAATCGCTTCTTTAGCCTTATCCATTGCCTCATAAATATATCCCATGGGAGGCTTTCTCTTACCATCAACCAATCGTAGTACACGAACAAGAGGACTTGATATTTTGTGAGCATAAAGAACATTGTTCCAAAAAGAAGGCATTAATATGACTTGTGCGGTCTTTTTACCCTGTTGTTCCTTCGCCCATTTGCTTGTGGTCCATTTCTCTGAAGTGAACATCTTCTTCAAGTTGGTTTGTTGTTGATGAATCCTTGATAAAGTTAGAAAAACAGTTGCAAATCGAGTTTTTGCTGGCTTAATCAAATCCTTGCACTGGGTAAATTGCCTCATCATATTCAACAAACCAGAGCGGTTTACAATATAACCATGCACCGCAATTGCCTTTTCAAATGTCTTGTTGAAGTTAGGAATTTTGAAAATGTCCTCCAACATCAAGTCCAAGCAATGAGCTGCACATGGTGTCCAATACAAATGTAGCCGCTTTGCCTCCAAAAACTTCCCTATTACATGTTTTTTTTTAAAAAAAAGGAATAATATGAGAATTGCATATATTGTAAGTAAGTACTAAGTAAATGTATACTACTAAGTTACTAACCGGCCAACACATTTGCTGAGGCATTATCTGTAACAACTTGAACCACGTTGGCTTCACCAATACGCTCCACAAAGTTGTCAAGCAATTCAAACATCTTATTTGCATCCTTGGATAAGCTAGAAGCATCAACGGATTCAATAAACATTGATCCTCTTGGGCAATTAACCAAAAAATTAATTAATGCTCTGTTTCTTTTGTCCTTCCACCCATCGGCCATTAAAGAGCATCCATATGTTACCCAATCTTTTTTATGATCCTCCATGGTCTTATTAGTGTGGTCTACTTCTTTCTGCAAATAAGGAACCCGCACCTCATGGTAGCTTGGTGGTTTCATGCCAAGACCATATTGCCCAAAAGCTTTAACCATTGGCCCAAAACTATTGTAGTTCACAACATTGAAAGGTATACCTGTATCATACATCCACCTCGAAAACCAAACAAGAGCCTGATCTCTCAACACCTTCTTGCTAGGATCATTATCATCAATTTTTGTTTGCTTTCCCTTGACTTTACAATTTTGCACCGCAACTTCCGGATCAGGGGTGAAGTACACATCCATAGGTCCCTTTTGCTTTGTTTGTTTGGAACCAACAGATTTGGAGGAGTTACTTCCTTGTTCTCGACGGGTAGAACCATGAGTAGAAATAGGCCTTTTACCATGTTGATTTATCTCAAGAATTTCATCATCATCATCGTCATCATTATCCATCTCATCAAAATCAGGAACCATCCTCAATTGCACCTTTGATTGACTTTTTTGAGACATATAGTCTTCAATCTCATCTTTGACATGAGATGGACATTTTTTACAAGCAACAACATTTTTATAACCACTAGCAAGATGTTGCTTGACTAGATAAACACCGCCATTCATTTCTTTGTCGCAGAAGTTACAAATAAACATTGAAAGATTTTGGGGATTTACCATCCGTGCATATTGCCATGCCGGATCTTTTTTACTTTCATTCGACTTCGACATTAATTCTATCCAACAAGCAATTCAATGTTTCAGCATAAAGAAATTAAAGAACATATTTTAACAACATTAAAGAACGTAAAGAAATTAAAATAGTTGAAATTAATTGAATCAAAATAATTAATTGAATTAAAATAATTAATTGAATAACCAGGAAATTAAAATAACCAACAAATTAATTGAATTAAAATAAACAAATTAATTGAATTAATTGAATTAAACAAATTAATTGAATTAAAATAATTAATTGAATAACCAGGAAATTAAAATAACTAGGAAATTAATTAAATTAAATTAATTGAATTAAAATAAACAAATTAATTGAATTAATTGAATAATCAGGAAATTAATTGAATTAAAATAAACAAATTAATTGAATTAAAATAATTAATTGAATAACAAGAAATTAAAATAATCAGGAAATTAATTGAATTAATTGAAATTTTAACATAGAAGAAAAAAAAAAATTGAATTAATTGAAAAAATTAATTTTAAAATAATTGAATTAATTTTAAAAATTAATTTTTGCGAATTAAAAATTAATTTTTTTTTAAAAAAAAATGAATTAATTCGAAGTCGAACAGTGTTCGACAGTGCTCTTCTTCTTCAAGTCGAAGTTGAACAAAGAACAGGTGAAGTCGAACAGGTCCGATAGTGAACAAAGGAGAAAGGAAGAAGAAGAAGAAAGGAAGAAGAAGGTAGAAGAAGCAACTCACCACGTCCGAAGAAGGAAGAAGCAGACCCAGGCGATTCGACTTCGACAGAAGAAGACCAGATGCTTCGATTCGACTTCGGCAGAAGATGCACTCCATCAAGTCGATCTAGGGTTTGGCTTCTTATTTCGTAATTAACTTTGTCGATCAGGGGCCTAGATGATTCGAACGAAGTCGATCAAGGGCCCAGATGTTTCGAACTTAAATCAGGCAAAAATACGATGAAGCGTCGCTTCTTTCCGCCTCACACTTCATCGCCTAAGCCTCGCTTCAGGCGCTTCTGAGTTGCCTCACCATTTCGCCTTGCCTCAGCACGCATGAAGCGCTGAAGGCTCGCCTCGCCTCGCTTAGCGCTTAGGCGAGAGCTTAGGCTCGCCTCTGATAACACTGGTTTCTACAACAATTATGGTTATCCTCCACCGATAGCCCAAAATAGATATTTCTAAACAGATAAATAAATCTATCAATAGATAATTTATCAAATTCCATAGGTGAGTAATTTATCAAATCCAACTACACCATTCAATTACAAGTCCTTCCAATTTCAGATTTCTCACATCAATTTCATCGTTTATACCAATTATTTATTCAATTCGTAATAGGGCCATCTCCCCTTTTTTCAATCACCAACCCCAAGGCTCAATTTTCACCAATTATACACAAATAACTCCATTTTCAAGACCTCACATACACATATGGAGCCCAAAATAGAAAACCCCTCTTTCAAAATTTCAAACCCAAACCCTAACTTCCCAATTCCACCATTTATGCAAAAATGACGAATATCTAGGTCAAAACTCATATTAAAGAATAGGTTATCCTTACCTCAAATGGAGAAGCTCAAAGAGGAAGGAGGAGAAACTTGAAGATGCTCCAAACTTGAACATTTTTGGATCAAAGGAAAAGCCCACGCGATACTCTACCCTTTTTACAAAGGAAGTAGGGTAGAAAGAATCTAGATCAAGGAGTATTTGTAGAGAGAGAGTGTTTTAGAGAGAGAGACAGCCGGATCAGGGTTTCTACAGAAGAAGGTCAAAAATGGTGTAAACCATCTCTGTTGCGAATTGATATATGCGAGGCTCGCTCGAGCGAAGGAGTTGTCCTCGAGCAACCAGACACAACAAGTGGCCTCACTCGAGTGCAAGAAGTGTCATTCGAGCGGACAATGCAAAGCTTCAGGTCTGCCACAAACGCAGACGCACGCTCGAGCGCAAGAGTTCTCGCTCGAGCGAAGAATCGATTCCTCAAGGCTCGCTCGAGCGAAAGATGTGTCTGAGAAAGAAACCTGAAGACCCTCAATCCTCGCTCGAGCGCAAGAACCCTTGCTCGAGCGAAGAAGCAAATACCCAAGGCTCGCTTGAGTGCAAAAAGTCTCGCTCGAGCGAAGAAGCCAAAACCTGGGCAGCAACCACTTACACCAACTAACAACCAACCTGTTCCAAACTCACCCAACAAGTCCCAAAACTCAAATTCAACGAATTAAAGGAAGAAAACAAGACATAGACAACAACATACAATCACAAAACCCGAGTCCAGAACGCAATAAAGGTCGGGGTAAAACCCAAATCGCTATATTGAGTGTCTTACTTGAATATTAACTTTGTGTTTTATTTTTATTTTTATATATATATTCTTACTTGAACGTTAACTTTGAGCAGTACGCCTTTTCTTCTTAAGGTGTTTTTTTAATTGATATTCTTAGTTTTAGTTCTAGTGATTGAAATTCATATGCGTACTACTCATATCTTATGCATGCGCAAAAGGCATACAAGGCGCATGTCTCAAGCTGTAGCCTTTAGGGAGTATGGCCTAAAAATCAAAGCTTTGATGCATTTTACTTTAGTCTCGAGGTGAGTCCTAGTAAAGCCTTTTAAAACTTTGTACTCAAGTCGCACCTCAACGAGAATAATATTTTCTTATATATAAAGGTGAACCTAGCTTCATTAGATTTTTATTTATTATTTACCTATTAATGTATGTTTTGCCTGATTTTAAAATTAAGATTTGGTTTGTAAGTTATTTAATATAATGACATTTAATTTTGATTTGTAGTGTACTTTTGGTATTAAATATGAATTGTAGGTTAGATCTTAACCAACTATATCATTTAACTAATTTTTGCATTACTCTAAATTAAAAATAGATATTTTTTACGAATGTACCTAGCCGTACCTGCACCCTACTTTTTAAATATTTTACCATATCGACTTACCCGTATTGTACCAGTACCAGTACCAGTGCTTCATAGACTGTAGTTAGTTGTTTATTTGGATGATGTTAATTTAAAATATTTGATTTGTAGATTTGTGTGGCGAAAGAAGATTGAGAAGGATATTTCTCAAGGTGTGCCACTTGACATGTTTTCAATAAAAGCTGAGAAGAAGAAGCAAAGAGAAAGGATGGTATGTAGTTGCATGTCAAATTTTTTATTTGCATATTATTATTTAGTGTCAAGTTTTTCATATTACTAACTTGGGCATTATATATCATGAGTAGTAATTCTAAGTTCATTATGTGATACATGTATAAATTAGAGAACTGACATGGGAATGACTTGTCAAAATTGTAATTTCCATAAATAGAAAACTTAAATAATGTTAAGGTATTGTTTATATCATCTTATCAAGGGTTTTAAAAGGCGTCTTCTAGGCTCATCTTCAAGAACCATTTTTGTTGTTGACTTGTGTTTCAAAAATTGTTGGTTGATTGATAATTCTCTTATTAATTAAGGGAAAAAAGAAAGAAAGAAATTCACAGGACCATCCAGAATTTAAATAGCAGCAAAAATGTTGAAAATTTGTGTAACGCGAACATTGTTTGAAGAATGCGTCACTTGATCGGTTTTATTATCTTTCTTGCAGTACATTTGTGGCGTATCTACTTTTCCAAGCTTCAAAAGACGTTTGCTTAAAGAAATTAGAATAAATTGGTTATGTTGCATGTAAGATATTTAGTTACCTGAAAATTTTATTTCTCATTACTCTTGCAATTTTTGTTTTTCAAAAATTTTATTCATCAAGTTTGCTGAAACAGATTGTTCTCTGTTGGAACCATTTCTGTTGAAGAATGGTGTTCCAAAATTGTAGGCTGATATTGACATTACTAAGAAAAAAAAAGAAAAAAATCATGGGCTTATCCATAATTTAAATAGCAGCAAAAAAATGTTGATAATTTGTGCAAGATGAACACAGTCTGAAGAATACATCACTTGATCAGTTTTATTGTCTTTTGTTGAGGACATTTGTGTCATATCTACTTTTCCAAGCAGTAAAAGATGTTTGGTTGGTTATGTTGCATTTAAGATATTTATTTACCTATATAAAATTTATTGTTTTTTGATTTTTATTCAACGAGTTCTCTGAAACCTATGAGGCACGGACAATGACAAGGGACATGACACAGACACGCGGACACACAATTTTTTTAAAAACTGGGACAGGACACGCTGGGGACATGTTCAATATATATAATTTTATTTATTTATTATATGTTCTAAAATTGGGAAGGGAAAAAAAATTCATTGGAAGGTAATTAAAAGTGTAAAATAACACTAAAATAAATGAAACGAAACGAAACGAAACATACATTTCACTACTTTAACATCACATGCCACATTTAAGAATAAAAAATTCCTATGAAATTACAATAACAAGTTAATTAATAAACACATTCAATAAAACAATAAAATTAATTAACACATTCAACAAATTGATTTTTTCTAACAAATAAAAATAATTAGTTCTATATATATGTTGAAGGTTAAGCAAGCAAGAATACTAAAAAAAATAGAAACAATGAAAAGAGGGGAAAAAAACAGGGGCTCATATATAAATAAATAAAATAAAAGTTTTTGTTAAAAATAAGATATTTTTAATCTCTCATCAGAGAGAAGAAAAAGAAATAAAAAATAAAAAAGTATTTTTAATCTTTCATAAGAGAATAAAATATACGTATATATATATATATATGTATATATAAACACAAAACAGAGACCATAAAACATAGGGGAAGAGAGACGAAAACAAAGAGAGATGAATTTTGAAAAAGTGAGAGAGAGAGAGAGAGGAGACGAAGTGCAAGAGAGAGAGAGAGAGAGAGGGAGAGAGCCGAAAGACACAGATAGAGAGATGACATGCAAACAGAAGAAACAAGAAAAACGAAGCAAAGAAGAAGAACGAAGGACATACCTCAATCTAGGCTTCAACTGGTTCTTCACCATCTTGAGTTTCAACAAGTTCAGATTCTTCTTCACCCTCTTTCTATTCTCTCTTCTCTGTTCTTCTCTTCCCCTTCTGCGATTCTCTTCTCCTCTTCTCATTCTTCTTTTTCAGTCTTTGTTTTTTACAGTTTGGCCCCATTTAGAAGTTTCATAAATTATGTTTTGTACCCTGCCGTGTCCGAAACGTGTCCGAGCATGTCCAAAATGTGTCCGGCTGCAAAAAATTTAAAAACAAAGAAAAAGGGGACACCTTAGGGATTGGAGTGTCGGACACGTGTCCACAGCGTGTTCAATGCGTATCTGTGTCCGACGTGTGTCCGACACTGATATGCAGGCCCTAGGGAGGTGTCCGTGCTTCATAGGCTGAAACAAATTGTTCTCTGTTGGTTTGTCAACTTTGAAGTTTGGATATTTTAAAAATTGTCTGTTTAAAATCTATTACTTCTTGTTGTTGAGTATGTAGCTTTGCAGGTTGTCATTATATACTATTGTTGATGTGCATTCTTCCATAATGTTGCAGGCGGAGATTGAAAAAGTGAAAAAGAGAAGGGAAGAAAGGGCGATTGAGAAAGCGCAACATGAGGAAGAAATGGTATGCCAAGCTTTCATGCTGTGGATTAGGTTTATTATTTGTTTGTTTGTGGGAAGAATTATTTGTAACTTTTTACTGGGGAAATTAGATTGCAGTTTATTATTTCCTTTTGCTCCCTTGGGTTGAGTTTAGGTATAGCTTGATGTAGATAACTTATTTTCTTTTCTTTTTTCCAGGCATTATTAGCCAGAGAACGTGCTCGGGCTGAGTTCCAAGACTGGGAGAAAAAAGAAGAAGAGGTGCAGCACTGCAATGATTTCAATATTCTATTCCCTTGCCATTTTTCCTTTTCATGTTTAACACATTATACCTTTATTATTTTTTTCTTGTTACGGTGGCATGTCTGTCATTTCTCTTCCATTTTGTGATATGACAAGTTGCTAACATATTTTATTACACAGTTTCATTTTGATCAAAGCAAAGTTAGGTCAGAGATTCGATTGCGGGAAGGGCGTACAAAGCCGATTGATATTCTTTCCAAGCAGCTCAATCCTTTGGATGATTTTGATATAGAAATAAATGAACCATACATGGTCTTGAAGGTATAATTCCCTTACATATTTTAAAATCAAAAGTTTGCTATAGTTACTGTCCAATATTTTTGCCCTTTCTGTATTTTCTTTTTCATTTTCATTTAGTTGTTTAACTTGTTAGATAGCTACGAAAAAGTCCATGCTTACACTAATGTTGGGAGCAAGAAAAAGCTTGTGTTAGATTTTATCAATATCTTCTATTACACAATATGCCTTCCTGTCCTCTATTTTAGAATGTCTAGGTTCGTATTCTCTGTCTTGCTCTAAACTTTTTTTTTTTATCCTCGCTCTAAACTTATTGACATACTAGGGTGTTAGTCCTTAATCATGATGTCTGTCTGTTATATACTCGTGAGCATAGAGTGGAATAATGGTGTGGCATTTGGATATGTAGAATGTGAGTCTTTTGGATATATGTGCAAGTTGATCCAGTGTAAATAATATTTAAGGTGAAAAAATGAGTAAATAGGAAAACATTTTTAATTATTGCAACATGGTGGATTCAGACCACTAGTGTAGTAGATGTCGAGAGTGCCACAACCATTTACATGAGATGTAACGATTCACAAATGCGGATTTATAAGAAAACATAAAAGTATTACTCCCTCTGTCCCAAAATGAGTGATGTTCTACATTACACGGACTCGGCAGTTTTGGCGAAGTACCTGTGTCGGCACGACACGACACGACATGGGTATGGGTATAGAATCCAATCAGGATACGGCATGGAGAAAATGGATACGGTGGCATACCTGCGATTAGGGCTTTGATCTTCATCTTAGGCTGTGATCGTCTTCATCTCTTGATTGTCTTCTCTCTTCTCTCACTCTCGATCTCCTCTTCTCTCACCCTAAATAAATAATTTATCATATATAATATAGTTTATAAATTATAATTTTTATCATATATAATATAAATTATATCATATATTATATAATTTGTCATATATAATATATCATAAATAATATAATTTTTACGCCTAAAATAAAAATAAATATAATCAGCTTGTTTGGTTTCGTTTTTCTGAAAATAATTTTTAGAAAATTTTACTTGTTTTTCATATTTTTTTGTTTTTATTGAATTTTTTTAATATTTGAAGCAATTTTTTTAATTTTTAGACATACCTAACATAAATATACCTAGAAAGTAGAAAATTTATGACAAAAACTTTTTAAAAATTCACTAAATACAAAAAATACAAAAAAAATACGAAAATTCAGTACATTTTTTATATTTTTATGTATTTATTAATTTTTTAAAATATTTTTTAACAAATTTTTTACTTTTTAGATACATCTAAGTTCTTCTCTCACCCTAAATAAATAATTTATCATATATAATATAATTTATAAATTATAATTTTTATCATATATAATATAAATTATATCATATATTATATAATTTGTCATATATAATATATCATAAATAATATAATTTTTATGCCTAAAATAAAAATAAATATAATCAGCTTGTTTGGTTTCGTTTTTCTGAAAATAATTTTCAGAAAATTTTACTTTCTTGTTTTTCATATTTTTTTGTTTTTATTGAATTTTTTAAATATTTTAAGCAATTTTTTTAATTTTTAGACATACCTAACATAAATATACCTAGAAAGTAAAAAATTTGTCAAAAAAACCTTTTAAAAATTCACTAAATACCAAAAATACAAAAAAAAATACAAGAATTCAGTACAATTTTTGTATTTTTATGTATTTATTAATTTTTTAAAATATTTTTTCACAAATTTTTTACTTTTTAGATACATCTAAGTAAGGTGCATCTAAAAAATTAAAAAAATGCTTAAAATTTTAAAAATATTCACTAAAAACAAAAAAAAAAACACGAAAAATAAAAAACTCAGTTTTTAAAAAATTTAATCCAGAAAACTCAAATCAAGCACACTGAATATAATTTATTTTATGCCTAATATAATTTTTATTTGTTATTTGTTATTATTATTTTTTTTTAATTGAATCTATTATTTCTCAACTTTTTTTAAATCATCTTCATATAATAAATATATTTAAAAAATACCTACGTAATGTATCCCCGTATCCATATCTAAATTTGGATCCATATTCACGTATTTTTAATTTTGAAGTGTTAGACCCCTAGATATGCACCGACACCCGATACCCACACCCAAGTAACGTAGGTGATGTTTGAAAAGTTTTAAGGAAAAACAGTAACGAGAAGTCACTTGATCTTTTGCCATTACTGTTCCCGTTTATAAAAATAAAAAAATTGTGCATCACACAACTCTAGAAACAAAAAATAATGGGATCCCCTTGAATGAAGATGCAACTGAAACCCAAAACGAAGACAAATAATAAATTTATCCTATAGACCTTCAAAATCTTTTGATCTATGAAGCACTGATACTTCTAAATGGGAGTCGTATCCATATTGTCCTTATATTATATACTGATACTCCTTGAATACTATCAAATATGTATCTGAAACTTTTTAAATGTATTTGATACTTGATGTTAAATTTTGAGAAGTATTAGATACTTTTCAAACATCCTATGTCACGTATCCAAATTATTATGAATCTGAAATTGTGATAACTTTTGCATTTATTAGAGTATAATTGTTAGAATAAAAAGAAGTTTTTCAATATTTTCTTATTTGTTACTAAAGAAGAAAATAGTGAGATTATAGTATTACTATACTTTTTTAGATTTTATCAAATTAATGTATCCATTGAGAAAAAAACTAGTATTTAATTCCTAAAGGATGGTTTCTCACTATTCTTGAAGTTCATGTATAATATAATACTAAAGAAAAAGAAATAAACAAAAACTTATCATAGCCTTATCCGTATATATATTTATAGATTTTGTCATATTGTCATATCTGTGTCGATCGGTATCCCGTATCTATATCCATGCTTCATAGCTTCCGATTATCGTCAACAATTTTTGCATGTCTTTCTAACCAAATCACCTAAGAAGTACATATTACACAATACCATCGATCCCCTGCGCCTTATTAGGTCCGAAGCCCCTATAATGAATCAAAAACATCTTCGAACAAGCAGAAGGAGCCACCCAATTCGTCTCCACCAACCAAAATGCTTGTATCATAGAGCCCTAGTCGCCAAACAATCCAAAAACTAGTGATCAATGCTCTCCTCATCTTGCGTGCATATAACACACCATTGAGGGAGTAAACGGCAATTAGGTCTTCTCTTCTTAAACATATCATTGGTGTTCAAGTTTCTTGGAAGCCATGGAGCATGCAAATTTCTTACTTTAACTTCAATTCTAAATCATCTCATGAAGGCTATAGGTACCAATATTGGGATTATCAATGATCTATCGGAAAATGACTTGCTGGAAAAAAATTCATGAAAAGTGAATAATCCACTATCTCTCTTATCAAGAGTGTCGTGTCTCCAGGATAAATAATCAAGAATAGACACAAGGGATGCTAACTCAATAGCCTCATGATCATTGAGATTTTTGTAAAATTAAAATTCCAATAAATTAGAGCAGAAGAAGATGAGACTATAGAAGCAATAGATACAAAAAGAGAAAAATGAAAACAGTACAAACACGGAGATAAAGGATCAAAAGAGGTCTCACCCCGTCCATTCATCCTCTCACAACCTAATTTTCACCCTTTTAGGTATCACATGCCAAGAAATGAGTAAACTGAGAAGAATAAGGAAAACCCTGAGAAATAGATTTCAATGGAGATTGAGCTTTTCCTAAATTAACCACATTAGAATCCCAACCGTTGGCCTGAATTTCATACTAAACCTCAATGACAAAGTGCAAAGCCATAGAATGTTTCATAGGGAATCTCCGAAGCCATTTTCCATGCAAAGCAACTTTTTATCTACAATGTTTTCCAAGGCAAAATCCCCTGTGGTGTTTGGTAGATAAACCTCATCGCAACTAGTAAATGATAATTTGTAATATATTTTTTATTTTAATGGCTAATATGGGAAAGAAGAAGAGTAATTGCTTTGATTTTTCCATTGTAAGAAAGATGATGGTGTTCTTTGCACGATTGGCAGGTTGAGGAGATGATGGAGTTCTTTGTTAGAAACCTTGTACAAGTGCATAATGTGATGGGGGAGAAGAGAGAATGAAATTAGGTAGTTAGTATTCAAAACTGGGTGGCGAGATAGTATCCAATGGGGGAAAAAAGAAACAAGATCTTATGAGAGGTTTAAAATTCAAAGGAAATAATTGAATATTTTCTACGAAGCCAACCTAGCTTTTGGTCAAAGCAAATACTTAAAGTAGTATCTAGTGAGGATTTAGAACTTGTTGTCAGGTTGAACTTTGACTACTGATAGTTATGAGTTAACAGTAGACAACTCAAAAAGAAAACTACATTATAAAGTTTGATTATAGGTTGGAATTTGGTCACTTTGGATCTAGAGGTAATGCCATGTAATGCAGTTGGAAACACGAAGTTAAAGGTTGTTCTCATAAGTAAACTTTGCTCACAAGTTGGTTCATTGAGGACTTAATCCACAATATAGAAAAAACTAAATCAATGGGACTTACAGCGTTTCGGCAGCCAGCAGAAATATTTGCATTTCATTGGGAGTTAATGTGTGGACATTCATTTTGTAAAGAAATTTGGGTGTGTTGAGCAATATGTTATCTATATTGTTGTCTTTGACTATGACTGTCAACTTTCATAGAATTCTGCATATTTGTTTGTATTTGTGATTGTTGGATATTTATTACAAAGAAATCTTTTAGTTTGTGCACTTATGATTGAAAAGTCTCTGTTTGAGGCCAACGATTTGATGTCATTATATATTTAGAGTGCCGTTTTAACTAATGAATGCATTTGCTTGCTTCAGTTTTATTTATGATGAACTACTATTGCCATCATAATGAAGTAAAAAATGAAAGTATGAACAATAAATTCACTACATATGTCAGCTCAGCTGTGGCGTAAATTTCTTTGTGTGCTGTCTGTTGGTAGCATTTTGCAATTATTAGTATATTTTTAGTTCCTAATGTGATACAATAGTCTATTTTCTTTCCCCACGCTATTTTCATTTTCATGCAATACAGGGTTTGACAGTAAGAGAGATGGAAGAACTTCGGGAGGACATAAAAATGCATCTGGATTTAGACAGGGCAACACCTACACATATAGAGTATTGGGAGGTATTCTCTCTTTCCTTTGTCGATTTATGTATTTGGTGGTTTTCTCCTCAATGGTAGAGTATTAATTGTAACCCATCTCTAGCTTTATTTTCTATATAGTTTTGCATGTCTCTTTTATCTATAGTTGCTTTCAGATATTTCAAAAGTTCTATTTAAGTTTATGTTTCAATTTGGATTTACATGTATGAAATATCTATATTTATGTGCATGTGAAGAATGCGATGGCTTTCAGAAATTCTAAAAAGTTCAGGGGAGGTTACAAATTGGATTGGATTTCCTTGCAGTTCTTTTCTTTTCTGTAAAAAAGAGTGTGATGGCATTCGGGAATCTGGAAACTGTGTTGTTACCTTGCTCATTGAGGATTACACTCGTGAGGAGATGAGGGTTTGGATTTATGTTTGTGAGTAAAAAATTATCCATCGGAGCGCAAGGCTGGCAACAATTTGTGCAGTATGATTTCTTAAGATTGTTTCACTCCCACGTGTCCCATGCAAACAATTTTCTCCCCAAAATAAAGAAGACAATATAAATAGAATTAGCCCTTGTTAATAAAGGACAGCGCTGGTGTTCAGGAGTATATGCCATCACTGCATTCAACTATTGCATCGCCATTCATTCATTATTCTTTTAATTAGTTCTACATGTAGAAGAGTATGTCTCTGAGTGGATGTCGTGATAAATAAATAAGCACAAGAAACTTAAGCCTGCTTTTGGAGCAATATGATTATATTTCACCCTTTGGTGTATGTTTCACCAAAAGGAGGAGATTGATGCAGTTAAAGAAATGGTGTGTGGATTAGACTGTTTCAAGCTTGCCCTATCTTCTGCAACTATTTGGGACATCATACGTTTTGTGAGTGCTTTGAGGCGCAAAAACAAAAACACAACAAAACAAAAAAGTTGCCCCCCCCCCCCCCAAAAAAAAAAAAAAAAAAAAAAAAAATCCTAATTGGAGTGATTGGACTCAGAATTCGCTTGGCACTTATGTGGATTGTTTCATCTTGCTTGCTGTCTACAATCGGTATGCTACATTTTTACCATATATGTGGCCCTAGATAGTGGAATGGTTTGAAAGGATTCATGTCGCTCATCCTAAATATTTGAGATTAAGCTGTTGTTCAATTGGTCTGTATGATCTTTGAACAGCTCTTTGCGTGTTTTATTGATTGGTTTTGATTTTGTTTTCCAGTGTGACCTTTTCCTCGTTTAACTTGTTAATCTACAATTCTACTCAGTAAAGGCTTGCAACTCAACTACTTGAATTCTTTTTTGCTACTGAGTTCTCTCGTCGGACATCCGCCATGTCCTTACTTACCCGCACTTTATGTTACTTCAGATTGGGCATAAGTGTTCGATGTGGGTGTCTTTTGGGTTAATCAAAAATCCTTACTTTCATGTCCTAGGGCAATGAATTGTATATGTACAACTGGCATAACATTTTCCGTGGCTTAAATTATACTGATGACCATGTTCACCATCTTTTGCATCCCTTGCCTTTACAAAATTGGTGGAGATGGAGAAAGTATTGAAAGTCTAGTTTAAAGAATTGTAATTTCTTTTCTCCACCATCAAATATTTTGGAGCCACTGACCTATAAAAAGAATGGGACCACTCTGGGAATCTAGCTCTTGGATCTTTCTTTGCAATGCCAGATCAATAGGGATGGACATAGGCTTATGTAGCATTTATATTCACGTCTAAAAATAAAAATGTTTCCCATTGTTTTTATCATATTTTCTTTTCTTCCCTGTTTTCCATGGTAATCGAAAAAGAAAAATTGAATTCCTTTACATTTAAATTTCCATTCACTCACCACATTCATGAATGAATCAGAGCGTTGGTCTGTTCTTATAAGATTTGACAATTGGGAGGCTTCCAACCTTTTAGGAAAGGCAGTAAGAATGTTAAGAGTCAGGGGATTTTGGAATTTTTTTGAGACTCGATGGTTAAATTGGCTACTTTGGAAGCTGCTTTTGCTGCTCAGAATTGTATCTTATCAAATGGGAGATTTTCTGTTCACATAATATTAGTCATCTTCAAAATTGACGTGTAAAACCAGTGGTTATTTTCCAATGGAAAACTGTTTTCCTTTTTATTTTTCTCTACACTTAAATATTAAGAATTTCCAAAAGGTCATAAGTACGTCAAGGAAAAGAAGGAGAAATGACGTCTAAATGTAAAACAATTTTGACCCTTCTTATCATTGTATTTCCTTTCCCTCATTTTCCATGGTAACCAAACAAGAAAAAAAGGATTTCCTTTACATGTTCTTTTCACTTCTCTCACCAAATCCTTGAACTTGTTGACTTGGTGAATTCTTTAATGTTTTAAACTGTGGCAGTTTTCGTCCTTTTAGAGAAAGTAAAAGGAACGTTAGAATTTTGGATTTGCTTTGAGACTTTATTCCTAGATCGGCTACCTTTGAGGCTGGTTTCCTGGCTCTGAGTTTTATCATATTTATGGGGATTCTGTACCATCATCATATTAGTCATCTACATTGTGTTGGTGGTTTTCTTCAGTTTTCTTGGTGCATTGTTGGAGCAGATCTCATTTTCCTTGCAGTTCCTTTCTTTTCTGTAAATTAAATTGGGCAAATTACACCTCCAGTCCTGTAGTTTAGGTGAAATTTTACCTTGGTTCTTGTAAAAAAAAGGATGAAATTGAAACTGCAGAGATCAAAGTGAAATCCTACCTAAATCTCAAGGACCATTAGTGTAATTTACCCAATTAATTTTGTACCTCATGATGCAGACAACCATATATGAAATGAACTAAATCTGTCATGGACATTGTTACCTGTCAAATCTAGAACTGAGTATTTTTTCCAAGTAACTTCTAAATAATATGGAATTTGATAGGCACTCCTGGTGGTTTGCGATTGGGAACTAGCTGAAGCTCGAAAGAAAGATGCACTGGATCGAGCTAGAGTGCGTGGAGAACAACCACCGGCTGAGTTGCTAGCTGAAGAAAGGGGTTTGCATTCAAGCATTGAGACTGATGTCAAAAATCTCTTGCAAGGAAAATCCTATGGGGAATTGGAAGCACTACAATCCCAGATTGAGTCACAGATGCGTTCTGGCACAGCCAAAGTAGTCGAGTATTGGGAAGCTGTTCTTAAACGGCTTCACATCTACAAGGCAAAGGTACATATCGTTCAATATTCTTGGATTCCTTTGTGTTCACAAAGTGACGAGTTGGACTCAAAAGGCATAAATTGCTGCAATTACAGGCCTGTTTGAAGGAAATTCATACTAAAATGTTGCGGAAGCACTTGGAACATCTTGAGCAGCCATTGGAGGGTGAAGAAAACTTGGAACCAGAGCGGAGTTTGAGTCCTATAGAAGAAGAAACTGATCATGATGAAAAGGGTACAGAGCACTGTCATTTTCTTAATTTTTGATCATTGGATCTAATAGTTGGCTAATAATAGTCTTTTTATATTTCAGATGCTGAAGCTTTCTCTCCCGAACCAATGCTGGATGAGGAGACACACGAGGTGGAAGAAGAGGCTGGATCATATTCACCACAGCTGTTGCATGACAATGAAAATGAAGAAGCAATCGATCCTGAAGAGGACAGGGCTATATTGGTAACTAGTCTTTGATTTGTTTTTAATTTTATTTATTTTTTTATGTACACTGAACTTGATAAATTTGTATGTGCATTGTGGCACATTAACAGGAACTGAAACGCAAGGCCGTGTTGGAAGAACAACAAAGACGGATCCAAGAAGCAATGGCTTCAAGGCCAGCTCCACCAGAAGATAACCTGGAGATTAAGGCCATGAAAGCAATGGGAGCCATGGAGGAAGGCGATGCAGTGTTTGGTACCGGTGATGAAATAAATCTTGATTCACAGGTGTCTCATCTTGGCTTATATTATGCCTTACCTTTCCGTTTGATTTATCATCATGTGTTTTTACACACCGCATTGATGTGGATACAGGTGTACTGGTGGCACGACAAATACCGCCCGAGGAAGCCAAAATACTTTAACCGTGTTCACACTGGGTATGAGTGGAACAAATACAACCAAACTCACTATGATCACGACAACCCACCACCGAAGATCGTGCAAGGGTACAAATTCAACATATTCTACCCTGATCTTGTTGACAAAATAAAAGCTCCTACTTACACCATAGAGAAGGATGGAGATAGCGGCGAGACTTGCATCATAAGGTTTCATGCTGGGCCGCCTTATGAGGACATAGTAAGTTTTCCTAGTCTAGCGGTTAAACATTTCTTGTTACTATTAACTGTTAAAATTAAGATGACTTAATTTCATGTGTTATTGTGATACAGGCATTCCGGATTGTAAACAAAGAATGGGAATATTCACACAAGAAGGGGTTCAAGTGCACGTTCGAACGAGGAATCTTGCACGTATATTTCAACTTCAAACGATACCGGTACCGTCGTTAAGATCAAATGGGGTGCAGGGCATTTGCTTTTGCTTTTTGCTTATCAAAGATGCCTCGGATTCATTCATTTAGACTGGAGTCTTTCTGACAGGAATATGAAAATGTTGCACAAAATATATTTTCTTACAAATTGATGTAGCATATAATAGTTATGCCTTTGGTATTTAAGATTGGATTAGTTGGAATTAAATGATAGGGACTAAAAACAATTTAAATTAAACTATAATATAATATCAAATTTCTTGGTGTTTATAGTATTGTTGTAAACCCCCTTTTGCTAGCGTTGATTGTGCAAGTGTAAAATTATCTGTAAAATAGTTAACAGATAAAATATAAGGTTGTGTTTCATTCATGGGGCTCACCTCTAGGCCTCACTATCTTGTGAATGATTCGTTTGGCATAGTGGTTGGGTTGGTTTTTTGGATAAAATAGTCACAAAAAGATAAAATAAATTAAAAAATTAATAAGATAAAATGTCATATTTAAATCATAATTTTTATTTTTTCTCTTAAAAAAGTCAAAATAGTTAAAAAGTTTAATCCAAATTAGATTTTTTAGTCTCAAGTTAAAATAGTTAAAAAATTAGAAAGTCGAAAAATCAATTCACATTTCAAACGAACTTAGTACTCTTTTGAGAAGTTTGTTAAAAGTCAGTTTTCAACTTTTAATCTATTTTAGGTCACATCACCTCTATAACTCATCCAAAAAAAAAAAGACAAAATAGGCTAAAAAAGTAAAAAAAAAAACAATTTTTAATCAACTTTTCAAAACATTCCAACAGTTTTTAATCGACTTTTCAAAACACCTCTCAGTATAGTTGTGTAATTGTTATGCTCTCTCGCCTGCACACTCTTTATATATAAAATATATGATAAGTTTATACTAATTTTGCTGCAATGAGAAGACTATTATATGATATCTTTGACAACAGCTTTCATATTTGAACCATCATGATTGCATTCCCACATTCAGGAAGAAGCAATAAAAACTACGATGATGGGTAAATATCACAGGAATAACTGTTTTGTTGTTTTTTTGACTAATCCCATTCTTTGTTTTAAAAAAAAATATTCTTGATCTTAGCTTCCTACCAAAAGAACAGATGCGTTTCAAATTAATATTGGCTGGTTAGCTATAAAGAAATAATCACATTATGTATTATGTCTTGTGCCCCCATGATGATTGCATCCCCACATTCAAGAAGAAGCAATGAAAACTATGATAATGGGTAAAGATCATAGGGAATAATTGTTTTGTTGTTTTTTTTGACTAATCCCATTCTTTGTTTAAAAAAAAATTATTCTTAACCTTTGCTTCCTACCAACGAGCAGATGAGTTTACGAATTAATATTGGCTGGTTAGCTATAAAGTAATGAGAGGACTTACATATAGGCTCATAATAAGTAGATTTATTATTCAATATGTACTATGATATTTAATAGCGTTAACGTTACTAATTGTTAATTTTTAACAACAGTTTAAAATTTTTGTCACAAAAAATCTCGCTAATTATAAGTTTTAACGATAGTTTAAAAAAATCATTACAAAAAACACTAATTTTCAACTTTCAGTAACAGTTTAAAAAATTTGTTACAGAAAAAGTCACTCATTATAAGTTTTAACGACAATTTATATAAATTGCGACAAACGGTGCCCCCATGATGTAATGATTCGAGCTATTGAACTCGAAAAAAGAAAAATTTATACAAAAATGGATAACAAAATTGGATACAAAATTTTGTATGTTGGATTTTCTCCGGCTGGGTGTTTAATTGGACAGTTTAGTTCGGTCCATTGTGCACCCATTTCGGGTCTGTCTTAATGATTCAAATCGTTTATTTTGTAAGATTTTGTGAGAAGATCATATATATCAGAAATCAAGTTGATTGGATATCAGGAGCAACTCGAGACTCGATCGGATCACATTTGTCTAAAAATAATTAGGACTACTTTCAAAATTATGTTGTCTTTTAACTATTTTTAGACAAATGTGAATAAATTGAAAATGTCTTGATATTTGATTACCTTGATTTTTGATATTTATAATCTTCTCAAAAGATTTTACAAAATGAATTATTGAGACGGATTCAAAATGAACATACGATAAGTTGGATTGGACCATCTAGTTTGATATCCCAACAGGAGGATCCAATTACTGTGGGATTCACCCTCACCCAACCCAAGTAAATATTCTGACTAAATTCTATATATGCTTTGTGGAATTTACTGATTGAACCCTCACCAACCACAAGAATTGTAGTTGAAGATCACTATTGTCAAATTAACCAAGGTTAGGCATGCAGCTCCCTAGAATTAACAAACACCACAATAATGGAAATGGCAATACCCCATTTATAAAGGAATAAAGTGGAGAAAATTAAAATGTACTCATGAATTTGGTTTAAGTTTTTTAAACATTTGAATGGAACGTGATTTTATGTAAGAATTTGAGATTGTCCGGGGCTTTGGGATTTATTCTGGGATCTATTTTGATAATTTGATTTGTTTATTTTGTAGAGCTCTTTGTGATAATTGTGATAATTTTGTGATAATTGTTTTTTAGTCCTAAAATAAAATGAAAATGACACAATTTTCATTTTATTTTAGGTAGATCCAATAATCGTAACTTTTTTATTTTTATCTTATTTGTCTCAAAAAACACACTCGCCATATTTTTATTTTTTTTTTCAGAGAAAAAACATGATCAAATAAAGATGTTACAATTATTGTACCAACCAGCTGGGGGTCGCCCATGATTGGGCAAAAAAATCAGTTTTTTTTTTTTTTTTTTTTTTTTTGTGTTTCCCATTGTAGTTGAAGATCACTATTGTCAAATTAACCAAGGTTAGGCATGCAGCTCCCTAGAATTAACAAACACCACAATAATGGGAATGGCAATACCCCATTTATAAAGGAATAAAGTGGAGAAAATTAAAAAGTACTCATGAATTTGGTTTAAGTTTTTTAAACATATATGTAAGAATTTGAGATTGTCCGGGGCTTTGGGGTTTATATGGGATCTGTTTTGATAATTTGAATTGTTTATTTTGTAGAGCTTTTTGTGTATATCATTTATGAAAAAATTAGGTCAATTTGATAATTGTGTCATTTTCATTTTATTTTAGGTAGATCCAATAATCGTAACTTTTTCATTTTATCTTATTTGTCTCAAAAAACACACTTGTTGTTTATTTTTTTTTTCCAAAGAAAAAACATGATAAAATAAAGATGTTACAATTATCGTGCCAGCCTAATTTTTTTTTATGAATGATATACACAGAGCGCCTTTTAAAAGTAATGATTTAGATTATCGAAATGAGATCTTGATAATTTGCATAGGCCCAAACAATTTTCTCAAATTCAAATTTGAATTTGTCAACATCTTATTTGCTTCAGAGTTTTAAAACTTACAGTTTCCAAATATAGGGTTAAAGTAAGAAATATATTAGAGGTTACATTTTGGTTTATTTTGGATTGAACTCAAATCTTAAATTACCATGTGGGGGTGGTGATAAGATTTTTATTTGGTTTAGGAAAGTGATTCCAATTTGAGTTATACCCAAATTGGATTGAGATCCTCACCATTTGTGTCGTTGTGAGCCCAAGGGTATTGGATTAATACTAATGAGATTCTCATTTCATCTTCACCATGTTACTATGTTATAGACAAAATTAACAAAATTAAATTGAGACCCTTGTGGTTTGAGTACAAGGTGGTATGGCATACATACTTTGGAGAGGTATCTATAGTTTATTATTGTTCTATGGATAAATTACACTAAATACCCCTATATTTTCACTAAAATTTTACTTTAGTCATTTCATTTGAGTTGTAACAGTCAACCCCTTACACTTTAAATCAAGATGCAATCTCACCCTTCTATCTATCTATCGTTAATGAAGTTAATGGAATTTGTCTTTTGAAGCATATGTGACATTTTTTTTTTGGGGGTCTAATTACCACTCTTATACTTTTATTAAAATCTCACTTTAGTCTAAACTGTTAGCAAAATCTCACATTGGTCCTTCCATTATCAATTTCCATTAGCTTTAGTAACGGTAGATGGACGAAAATGTGAGATTAGAACTTAATTTAAAATGTAGGAGGTTGATTATTGTAATTGAAAGTAAAATGATCAAAGTAAATTTTGGTGAAAGTGCAACAGCAGTAAGTGTAAAGTTTACGCTTATTCTATTAATGATTTAGATGACTTGTTTGGAATTAGACCAATCTAACTCGGATAGAAAATTTTAGAGACAAAAGTAAGCTGGGGGGATCAAAGAGGCACAAATGCATATATCCGTATTAGAGATACCACAGATACATATATGTAGTAGCAACCTATAAAACACGGATACTTTTATAAGAGAATTGTATCCGTATTAGAGATGCTTAATGGATAATCACGAATATATATCTGATACTTCATAAATATCCGATGCTTTTGGAATACTCTAGATCAAGTATTTGAACTATTTTAAAAGTCAGGTTGTAATAATTCTTGCATAACATTAGAGAAGGAGATAAAAGTTAAATTAAAATAGTAAATTGACGTATCCTTGTATATGTATTCCATATCTATACTTATAGCTTTTTAGAAAGTAAAAATAAATTAGGAAATATGATGATACTCAATGATGGAGCCGGAAAAATTGTTCAGAGGGGACATTTATTAATTACAACTTCAACATTATTTTCTCATAATCAATAATAGTAGATAATAATTTTTTTTAATTAATATTAAGCACAAAATCTTAAATATTTAATATAAAAGTTTTAATTTTTTTTTTTCATTTTTTTTCATTTATACAATTGACCTTGCAAAAGATCATAATTGGAAATATGAGGTTACTTGTAAGTAGTGTATTATAAGTAATACAAAAGAGTGTATTATAAGTAATACAAAAGAATCATGTATAGATTATATAATATATAAATAATAGTGATACCGCATTATCTATATATGATATCATTAATCAATAGTAAAATAACACATGGAGAGTTAATCCTACTTGTCAAATATAATTAACAATTCAATAATTCTGCATTTTCGTAGTGGAGTTAACTATGTTTACATATAAATGATGATGTGATATCACTCTTGCACTGAATTTTTTTTTACAAAATTTTCAAACATAATAATGTGGCTTGTTATAGTTTTTTCATTTTCAATCAAAACAGCCACTATTATTTTCATAATTGAAAAAATGCTATTAAGAAATCATTCTAAATGTTACTGCTATGTAATTTTTTTATTTGTTAATTATTTTCCTTATCCCCAAAAAAAAATTTGCAAAATTGAGGGGGGAAGGGGCACGACCTCTTCATAAATTCGTTCCTGATGATACTAAACTCGAATTTTAATAGTTAAACAAGCAATTGCGTACAACACTTAAGCATATAACACATTTAAGTATAAAAGAAAAAGTATAAGGGTAATAAAAACAATTTAGCATTTATATTAAAATGAAAATTTCATAGGATTCACTACAAAAAAGGTAATAGTTGATAGTTGGCTCTTAAACTAATACCTAATTCTTAATTTATAAATATTAAGGTATCGTTTGGTAACACTTACGTTTTCAGTTTTCTGTTTATATTTACAAAAATTTTAAAAACTCAAATAAAAACTTGTTTGATAAAATTTTTGATTTATAAATCAGTGGTCTTAGTTTATAAATTTGACCAAAAAATGAAAACACAAAAAATGTGTTTCCATTTTGAGTACATATTTAAGTATAAAAAGAAAAAGTATAAGGGTAATAAAAACAATTTAGCATTTATATTAAAATGAAAATTTCATATGATTCACTAAAAAAAAGTAATAGTTGATAGTTGGCTCTTAAACTAATACCTAATTCTTAATTTATAAATATTAATATACCAATTTTTGTTGAACTTTGTATAATCCAATACTAAAAATTATAAAAATATATTTTTTTCATAGTATCATGGCTGTACCCATATCTTAACTTTTGAAGTTTTATTATATCGACATATCTGTATCGTATTTGTATTCCGTATCTGTATCATACTTCACAGATAGCAGCTTCTAAATGCAGATGTATTAGTATGGGTTACATACAAAAGTTCAACACCAGCCAGAACAGGGATCCTGAATCAAGCTTGAGAGAGCAACTCAATATGACTTGGCCTATAACACCAGCCAGAACAGTGCATGCACACATGAGAGAGAGAGAGAGAGAGAGAGATTACAAAAGAAATGGTAAAATCACTATGTAATGCTTTCCCCATTTCACAAGATACAATTTTTTAATTGAAACTTGAGAGTGCAAATGCAAATGCAAATGCTTTCCCCCATTTACTAAAGGTGGTTTGCGTTTCCCACCATGATCAATACCCAATGGATTGCAATTCCAGCTACCCCATTTTTGGAAATCTCTTTTGGATCATTCATACTTTCTGCACAAAGTAAGCATCTGATCCCAATCTTTTTCCTCCCCCCTGATTCTCTTTATTTTCAGTGGGTAACACAAAATCAAAGGTCTTTCCTCCCATCATTTCTACTACCCTTTTTAATCCTATACCTCTTTATCTTCACAACATGAATATGCATTGAATTTACACATCCATTTTTCAAGTTTTTAAAAAGTGTCATTTGACACATCCATTTCTCAAGCTTTTCAACAGTTTCTGAAGCATCTTAATACATAGGGCATGTTTGGCATAACTTTTTACAAGCTGAAGCTTGATACTGAAAAAGTAAACACTCAAAGTAACCTTTTCTCTACTTCCTAATAATCAGTTATTTTCAGCTAATTTAAGTAATTTCTAACTTGTAAGCTGTAAGCAAAAGCTGCAACAAACTCTCTGATAGAAATTTCAAAAAAGAAAGAAAAGACTATAATCAACTCCATAATCATATAGTCTCAACACTCATCTCATTAGAAGCCTCTTCTTGTGCTAGTATCTCCCTTATATATTGGAGCTCCTGAACAACATCTTTCATGCTAGGTCTGTCCTCTTTCTTCTCTCTCAAACAGGCAAGCGCAAGCTCGGCAAAAAGCTTCACACTTGTCACTATCTTAACATGAGGCTCCTCTCCAAGACACTGTTGGTCCACGACTTCCATGATCGAATCACTGTGAGCTCGCTGACTGACATAAACAGCCAGGTTCACATCATCTTGGTCACGCGTGAAGTCTATTGCCTTCTGAGAGGTCAGAAGCTCAAGCAACACGACCCCATAACTATAAACATCACTTTTTTCAGTTAATTGGTAGTTGCGATAGTACTCAGGGTCCAAGTACCCTAATGTTCCCTGGGCACACGTGGATAGGTGACTCAACCCAGGGCGGGCCAATCTAGAGAGCCCAAAATCCGCGACTTTTGCATTGAAGTCATCGTCTAGGAGTATGTTTGATGACTTGACATCTCTGTGGTAAATGGGTGTGTAAGCCGCGGAATGTAGATATGCTAATGCTTCAGCGGTTTGTAAAGAGATTCTAAGCCTTGTTTTCCAATCCAGAAAGGTGCACTTGCGATGTAGATGGTCATGGAGGGTACCGTTGGAAATGTACTCGTAAATCAACAATGGCTGCTCGGCTTCCACACAACAACCCATGAGCCTAACTAGGTTTCGGTGATTTACCTGAGAAAGTATACCGACTTCGTTGAGTACTTGATGGGTGCTTTTGATGTCACCCACTTTGGCTGACTTAACGGCGACAACTGTCCCATCTTGAAGCTCGCCCTTATAGACTTCTCCAAAGCCACCGCTCCCCAAGATCCGGTCTTTGGAAAACCCATTTGTCGCTTTCTTCATCTCCTTAAGGCTGAACATCCTTGCAGACTTTCCACCATTGCTTGATTTTAATGCGTCTTCTCTTGCCTTGGCGAGCTTTGCCTGGTTTGAAACTTTCCTGGATTTTCTCACTGTTATTGCAGCCATTACTACTGCAAGAGTGAAAAAGGAAACAACTCCAATTGAAACCTTGAAAGTAAGGTCAGATTTTCGGTTCTTCTTCTTCTGTCTTGAGCATGTACTGAGGCTATGGTTCCAATAATACCCGCTGTTGCAAAGACAACGGAAGACATTGTTTTCACCAGTAGGCGAACACTTGGAAGCCCCAGAACAATCAAGTTGGGTTTTACAAGCTGGTTCTGGTGGAGGAGCCCACTGAATTTCCAACCCTTCTTCCCATTGATTCGGAGGTTTTTCTGGATCCAGATGAAGTATGCTTCTAAAACCTCTGCAACCCGAACTGTGCAGTCTTATCTTGTATGCTGATGGCGTGCCACCTGCAAGAAAGGTACAACACGGGTCTAGGCTGCTTGCACACTGAAGTGCACGTTTTTTGTCAACATGTCCCGAGCTCTCCAAGTAAAGGTGACAAAGACTTGAAGAAGTGCAATTTAGAGGAGAGATCAAGAGACGTGGTGAACAGCTGAAGAGGAAGATGGTGTTGGATGAAGTGATGTTAAACGGAAGCGTCTGGTTTAGCCAGAGCCCCTCGCTCACGGGCATGTCTTGAGTTACACATGTACCCGGAAGCCATGGTGCTGGTTGTACCACGATGCGTTGAAAGGCTTCCATAATTCTAAGAATGAGATAAGAACTTCCATTGAGTCCATCAAAGAAAAGTTTGTGAGAAAGGGGATCACAACGAATAGAGTAATCAGGATCACCACAATTGGGATTGGTGCTTAAAGGATATGGGACTTGTATAGAGCCACAGTTTGGGCAAGTCTTTTGGGAAGAAGAGTAACTGAAAAGGTAAAGAAGAAAGAAAAGAGAGATACAAAGAAGAGGTGGTTTCCCATTTGGTTTGGTCATGTTCATTCTAAAAGAAGAACAAAGACGATGAGTAGAAAAGATTATGGTACAAAGAGGGAGCAAGATGGGTAAATAAAGGCTATGAAAGGAGGAATAAAGTGGGCAAAATGAAAATCTTAAAAGTGGATACAAGAATCTATGTCAAAAATCACAAAAATTTTGGCATTTATAAGGCTGTTGGATTCCTATCTATGGAGTACATGACTAATGGGTTCTCTTCCCTATCTCAAAGGTTCTCTGATTTTCATATTTTTTTACCATATGGTAGGAAAAGTCTCAAAAATAAGTGTGGAGTGGAGCACGAATCATCAAAATAAGGAAATATTCAAAGTTAAAAGTATGAATGCTATAGAGTAATATCTAGCACTACAAATAATTTATACTTTCTGCTCTATTATAATAAACATGTGGATCATTCCCAACAATTATTATATACAGTAGCACAAGGCAAGCACAAGAACAGTTGTCTATTACACGATACAATCTATCTATTTTATCATCACACAAAAAAGTTAAGGTGCAGTGAATTTCATAGTGTAATATGGAAAAACAATACGAAAAAAAAGAACTACCAATGAATGAACACTAATGAATAAGAAATTATAAATATATGTACAAGTGTGCTCTACATTTCAGGTAAAACAGGTTACATATCACCATGCGTATTACTTTCTGAGGACATGCAAAAATTGAAAATTAGATAGCTGCTACTGAAAACACACTTCAAGCTGAAGCAACAAACAACTCCATACACTTCATTATTTTAAGTCTATTTGTTGGATGTCTTTTACATTCTTTAAATAATTTTCCATCCACTTTGTTATTCATGTCTGTCTACCCCTTAAAATAAAATTTGTTATTATTTGGTGAGATACTAAAATCTTAAAATTATACGGAATTAAGCTTCTGATTTCATAATATGAATAGTATGATATCAATGTACTAGGGCACATTTTTCCACTCCAGCAACAAATGAAAAGCAGCCTGATGGTCCACTTTGAAGTAAAACAAGGTACTATATGAATTTCGTGGAATGTAGTTGGCTTCTGTTCTTGGTACACCAAATGACCAGTGGTAGCAGAACATAATTGAGTTATCCTTCAACAATTTTAACTGGAGACCTGAACAAGAAAATAATACACAAGTTTGAGTATTAAATAGACAGAGACGTAAAGCATACCAGAAGGTTAATAAATGTGCTTCTCAGCACCCGTATCACGTACCCAAACGGGCTTTGTTTGATGGCCAGTAGTTCAACATTCAACTGCAGGTCCCCCCAACACCACCACCACAAAAAAAAAAAAAAGAAGAAGAAGACAAATAAAGATACGAATATGGATGAGTAAGGATAAAAAAAGGCAGTGGAAGAAGTATAAGAAAAGTGAAAGGAATATTAAATTAAAATGAATAAACAATACAGGGGATTCATTGCACAAATACAACGTTAAGTGTCACTGTGTCACTATTCACAGTTACATGAGAAAAGAAAAAAAAAGGTCCACTCAATAGCTGGCCATCTATATGATAGAAAGCATTGTTTTTAGCAGTGAGTGATGAAGAATGAGAAGATTCTCGATGTCAAATCTGAAAAGCAACTTTCAACCATGGAGCATCCATTAAGGGCAAATTGTGTTTCTAAGGTAGCTAACAGCTTGTGGCTTCACTTTTGGTACAATTAAACATTTTTCCTTTCCTACATTTCATCCAGTTATTATAATCTAATATGAGTTTTATTTATTTTTATTTTTTCTAATATGTAAGCTCGAAGTCATTTATTTTAGTTGTCTTGGTACTGTACAGAATCAGACATTGATATTTTTTTTGTTGCCTTCGTCGACTTTTTTTTGGCACATTGGACGGCCATAGGCGAAAGAAAAAATAAAATAAGATAACATAGCCATATGTCTCATGACCTCAGCATCCTGCATATCCATAGTTAGCAGAGGAAGAATTTATTGTGGACCTTCTCTCAGCACTTGCCTGTTAACAGAGAGGGTTGATGCAGGAGCATAATGGGCCAGCCATACGGGCTATAGGTGTCCTTCTGAATAATCTTTCTAGATGTCTAATTAGTTTCTAATCAAAGTTTTACGGTTAATTGATATTAGATATATTATAGCCTATTATTATAGCTTGGAATTTATGTTTTGACTACCTAGGATTTGAAAGGGTGGTTCTCTAAAAAATTGAAAGATTTCTTGGAAGTAGGTTAGAATTTAATAGTTTCCTCAAATGAAGAAGTCTTTGTAATGTCTATATATATCTCTAAATGAACAAGATCATGTTTTTGAGATTATAGAAAATATTTCTATATAAGTTTCTCTTGCTTGGAGTGAGTTCATTCTCCTACAATCAAGATATGGCTTGGTCGCATCGAGTGACATCCATGATTAGCAACGTCAAGTGGCGTATGTTACGCCCCGGTGGGTGACATCCCAGGATTATGCCCTCTCTTGGTCGAGATATCTTGTTCTGGCCACCCTTGCAGGTTCCGGCCTACATCAAGGATTATGCCTTCGTAAACTATATGCTGAAGAATTTTATGTACATATTCCTATTGCCAAACTGATAATGTCTCTCTAGGCTTACTCCAAGGATTTTGACATTAGTGTTGAAATGAAAAGCACCAGGCTACCAGCTGGTCCAACAAGATTCGACCGGAACATCAACTTTACATGTACAACCCCTTAAAAGACTTGTAAAACAGTATGGAGTCATCATCAGGCTACCAAGATTCGTTGTTACCCTTCTCAAATTGAAACTTAGATAATATGTAGAAACAAATTACCTCAATTGTCGCATTTGGAGGGATTTCCTGTACCCCTTTGCTTCCATAAGCTAACTCAGGAGGAACTATCAGCACTCGCTGCAAGAAATGGATAATGTGAACTCTTCATAAGTATGTAAATCATGAGCCCATTAGCTAACTGTGTTACTTATCCAACTTTAAGTCTTTCGCCAATCATTATAGAGTGAAAAATGAAGTGTTCTTTCTTGTTAACCAAATAATCCTAAGAACTCTTATTTGATAGTTTTCTTACATGTAACAAGGAAATATTATGCCATGAGCAGTCATACCTGGCCTCCTACTTTCATGCCTTGAACACCTAAATCTAATCCTTTGAGGACTGTGCCCCTCTCCGATTGACCAACATCAAATCCATAAGGCTGTAGCAATTGAGGAATATGCACAGTATTAAGAGGCATAAAAATTCTTCAAAAGATAATTATGGACTAGAAATTAAATAGATGTCAACAAAATTGTCCAGTATTCTTAAAACAACTTTGGCTGTGTTTCTCCAACACAGTAAGAAATGAGAGTCATATTGCAAGGCTTTTTAAGAATCACGCCCAAACATATATGTTTTACAATAACTAGAGGACTCTATATATGGGTGCAGAATGACAAATTTCTGGGGCTAGGGATTATTTTCTCCACATAATAATTTAAGAAAAGTTAAAATCAAATGGAATAGGTACTATTTATAATGTAGATACCTCCAGGAAAGAGGAAATTGATGCTGTTATATTCTAAATTCATGTACACAAAATCCAAAAGTGGAAATTTAAAAAAATAGGTGAAAGCGCTAGTGCAAAATAATGTGCACATAACTAGATTATGGATTGGAATATGAGTTCCCTGTCTACCTTGAAGAAAAACGTAGACTGGGAAATGGAGTCTATATGCTAGATTTCTTGCCTCCCTTCCTCGTACAAGAAAGTACTAGATGGAAATAGATGATGAAATCTCGAAAATGGGAGGCGAAAGAGCATGTTTAGTTTCCAAGTAATTAACCAATACTCCTTCCTGTTCCGGGAATTCCATGTTGGCAGTATGCCCGACCAATAGCAAGGGCCTAAAGAATTACATGGCCTTACAAACAAGGAAATGATGGAAAAATAACAAGATACCATTGGATGGGCACATGGCCACGTGGTTTTCTTGACCCATATAGTAATTTCTGCTACATAAGAATTTGGGAAGGTATAGAGTGTCTATATAGCCAATATACTTTCATTTCATGAGAAGTGATACAAAACATTGGAGGCATCCAACCAAAAATAAATTGGCATTAGGTGGAAAGGCCTTTAGACTATATTAACCAAATTTGGGTGGCTTAGAGAGCCAATGTGAGACAAGTTTCTAATACTTCCTTCCACCCTTAGACTAAATTAACCAAGTTTGGCTGGCTTACAGAGGTGATGTGGGATAAGTCTCCAACACTAACCCGCATATGCAGTTCGGTTGCATGCGGAGGTGATAGAGAGAAGAGACACAAGATAGAAAGATCCAGAATGGAGACTTGGCCCGCGAGGCCACCTAAGACCTAGCTCTAGTACCATGCTAGATTTATTCAAGGCATCCAACCCAAAATCATTTGGCATGTCTAGAATATATGGACCAAGTTTGACTGGTTTAGAGAGGCGATGCGGGACAAGTCTTATGAAAAGCTAGAGGTATAACCACAAAAGGTTTGTTTTTTCAATATGGAGTCGAAAATTGTCTAGTCAAGTGCAATGGAGAATAAATGAGAAGAAAGACAATAAGGCCAAAAAGAAAGTGTGCCATGACACCTCAAGAAAAGACATGGTGATCAATGTTATTTACAAACAAAAAAGCCTCAAATTAAGCACATGACAAGAAGAATCATGTAACTGAATACAAGTAGCTGCACTGTGAAGCATTGCCAAAAATCATCCATGTCTCTACAAAGAGAGGCACCATAAACACACGTAGAACCCATGAGTTCTCCTCTTTTAATGAGCTTCTCTATGGTGAGAAGGTGTAAAGAGTTGATGCCAACCAAGAAAGTGTTTAACTTCCATTTTCCGTTATTTTTTATGGGAGAATGCCAATGGAAGAAGGAAGTTTGGTGCTTGTTTTTAATATAGTGTGCTTTCTGGGAGGGAGGGATAGACATCCCTTCAAAGCGTATATGGCCCAGAAAAGTTCCCTCCAAACTCCAAAGTATTATTCTTTGTTTAGTGTGCTTGCACTGAAGGCCATTTTGATTATCAATTATGTGTCCAAGGGGGCAAATGCTACTCAATTGGTGTTTCATGTGCAAGAAGGCATAGGAGATGGTTGATCAACTTCCGCTGGATTGTGAGTTTTTTAGAGATCTTTGAAGCTTGGCATCACTATACTAGTGCATTGCAGGATGCCTGGTAAGGTTATTGAGCGAAATGGCTGTTGGCTTAAGGGATGCACTCAGAAAATTCTCATCAACTTGGATGGACTCAATGCTTTGTTCCATATGAAGCATTTGGGAGGAAAGAAATAGGACAGCATTTGGAGATTGTATAGGTTGAAAAAATTGTTAAATACCTTCCTATTTTTGGATCCCAAAAAAAATTCTTGACTTCAATTCCTTTTATAGATTTTATATGAGATCTCAGTCTTTTGGAACGAGCTTAGTTGTTTTTCTTTTTCCTCCTATATACACTGCGTGTACATGGTTGTGCTCTGTTTAGGTGTGCATAATGTAACATCTATTTACCCAAAAAGAAGAAGAACAACAAGAGGATTCTTGTATGATAATAGATGACTTGTTGTGTGACGTTGATAGAAGGATTGCACAATGGTTGGAGAAAATTACTGGAAATTATTCACTGGCTTACCCTTATCCATGGCTTCAAAGAAAGATAGAATAGCGGTTTCAAAATTACTGGAAAACTATTCTTAATGAATCATGTTAATTGGTTCTTCTCATAGTGCTATTTAACAATGAGTTAGATATGTATTTGTTTCTGTGTATTACCGCTGATTATTTAACCAAAATTAACGAAAGAAGTGGTGTAAATAGGAGGCCCATGATAGAAATCTTACTGTTCACCACAGCACCCAAGTCCCTGTCTACTTGTCATAAAAGTGATGCCCTTCCATTTAGCAACATAGTGGACCTACAGCATGAATTAACATCATTTAGTCCAGTTTTCTAAATAAAAATAATCACAAGAATCAAATAATATTTCTTAAGATTCTAACAAGAAAACAATACTGAAAATCTTGAAAAACATCTAGAATCTACATAAACACAAATGGATTGCACAAATCTACCAAGTTTTCTATAAGAAAGGAACAAACTTCTTGACTGTCAGATCCAGTTTCAAATGCGTCTTATTTCACTAAACAGTAATGCACTACGCTTAGCTTAACCATTCGAAAATGCTTTCAGTTCTCAAAGTAGTTTAACAGTATCATTTCCTGCCATCCAAAATTGATAAACGACATGCTTTCTTGAGTTCTCACTATGTGACAATTGAACACTTCCACTACAATACAATAAGGCCAAAATAGCAGATATGCAACTTTTTAGCTTCACATAATGTTTTTTACAATTTGGGTGATAAAATGTCGAAAAGGTAGTTGAAGTTTCAAACTTCCACTGGAGCATGATATTTTGTTTTGGACTTGAACAATATCACATAGTTGCCAACCTGAATCAGAGTTAAATTTACTAGCATAATCATATGACACAGCAGCATCCACAGACAATAACAAGATAAAATCACTCAGAATCTTCCCGAACATCAAAGTTAACTAGACTATAGTGAATGGCATCTTGTACTCAGAATAGTTGTCTGTTTGAGCAGCTAGCCATGAATAATCTTCTCCACATAGGTTAGTTTTTGAACCTTTATTGAATAAAAGGACTATTATACGAATAAAATGATTGTTGCAAGATATTTACTACTCTTAAGTCCAATATGAATATTTAATTTGTTGAAAAATTCTCAACATTGTCAACAGAAAGGAAGATATAAAAGGTGACAAATGATAAAAACAGATATATTCTGGACCAAGTGGATGCATGAATGGGTTCTCACTTAGAGCATGGTACCAAAGTATTATGGGTAACAAGTGTACTGCATGGCATATGAATACTCTTTAAGATGGGTAACCATGAAAGTTAAAAATAAAAATTTAAGTGGGCCACAACCATACTGCAACTCGAGATCCCTTCACAGCTTCTGCTCCACCCCCAACCTTCAAATCATAATACCTGAATGATAATGCCATCAGAATTTGGGTAAATACCTGAAAATGGATGAATGCACAAATTTAAGATATTTTCTTTACTTTAGAATTGAAAATTGATAGAAGGATAAGCATCCAAAATTAGGAGTTGAGTTGAATCTTGAAACTTACAACCATTATCTATTCTGGCAATGCATATCATTTTCAGATTCCAAGAATCACATGTTTAGAATACTGTGCTCAGATGCAATAAGAATGGAAGATATATTTACATGTAAAATGCAGAGTTCTAAGGCACCTTAAGAACAAGCATCATAGGGTAATGAATTAAATCCACATGAAGAAATATGAGAAGCAGTGTATTAAAGGTTATAATAGTTTACTAACTTTAAGCCATTGGGAAGGGTTTTAAAATCACTCTCAGGTATCTTTTCTCCTCTAAGCTGCAGCAAACAAAAGAATTAACTCTTCCACCAACGTATTTTTAACAAAGAAAAATCCAATTGCACCAATCAAAAATAGGTGAATCATTAGAAGAATCTTACTGCTCTTCTGCTTGTGCTTACTGCACCAGCCACGTCACAGACAGAAATGCCAGCAGCTGAATCATAATAGACGTTCATTAGATATTTAAGTAAATAAATGGCACATTTACGAATATAGAGAAGCAAACTTTCAGAAAAATAGAAAACAAGACCTGAAAAGAGGGCATTGAAGAAAAGTTGAGTATCCAATAAGTGATAAGGTTGGTGTGGTGGAGTTTTTGTTAGATAGCTTGCTATACATTATTGGACCCATTTCCTAATAACTTAAGCTTTTGGAAGTCATCATCAGGCTACCAAGATTCTTGTTACCTCTTCTCAAATTGAAACTAGATAATAGTAGAAACAAAATTACCTCAATTGTCGCATTTGGAGGGATTTCCTGTACCCTTTGCTTCCATAAGCTAACTCAGGAGGAACTATCAGCACTCGCTGCAAGAATGGTAATGTGAACTCTTCATAAGTATGTAAATCAGAGCCCATTAGCAACTGTGTTACTTATCCAACTTAAGTCTTTGCCAATCATTATAGAGTGAAAAATGAAGTGTTCTTTTGTAACCAATAATCCTAAGAACTCTTATTTGATAGTTTCTTACATGTAACAAGGAAATATTATGCCATGAGCAGTCATACCTGGCCTCCTACTTTCATGCCTTGAACACTAAATCTAATCCTTTGAGGACTGTGCCCCTCTCCGATTGACCAACATCAAATCCATAAGGCTGTAGCAATTGAGGAATATCACAGTATTAAGAGGCATAAAAATTCTTCAAAAATAATATGGACTAGAAATTAAATAGATGTCAACAAAATTGTCCAGTATTCTTAAAACACTTTGGCTGTGTTTCTCCAACACAGTAAGAAATGAGAGTCATATTGCAAGGCTTTTAAGAATCACGCCCAAACATATATGTTTTACAATAACTAGAGGACTCTATATAGGGTGCAGAATGCAAAATTTCTGGGGCTAGGGATTATTTTCTCCACATAATAATTTAAGAAAGTTAAAATCAAATGGAATAGGTACTATTTATAATGTAGATACCGGAAAGGGAAAATTGACTGCTGTATATTCAAATTCATGTACACAAAATCCAAAAGTGGAAATTTAAAAAAATAGGTGAAAGCGCTAGTGCAAAATAATGTCACATAACTAGATTATGGATTGGAATATGAGTTCCCTGTCTACCTTGAAGAAAAACGTAGACGGGAAATGGAGTCATATGCTAGTTTTGCCTCCCTTCCTCGTACAAGAAAGTACTAGATGGAAATAGATGATGAAATCTCGAAAATGGGAGGCGAAAGAGCATGTTTAGTTTCCAAGTAATTAACCAATACTCCTTCCTGTTCGGGAATTCCATGTTGGCAGTATGCCCGAAATAGCAAGGGCCTAAAGAATTACATGGCCTACAAACAAGGAAATGAGGAAAAATAACAAGATACCATTGGATGGGCACATGGCCACGTGGTTCTTGACCCATATAGTAATATTTCTGCTACATAAGAATTTGGGAAGGTATAGAGTGTCTATATAGCCAATATATCTTCATTCATGAGAAGTGATACAAAACATTGGAGGCATCCAACCAAAAAAAATTGCATTAGGTGGAAAAGCGCTTTAGACTATATTAACCAAATTTGGGTGGCTTAGAGAGCCAATGTGAGACAAGTTTCTAATACTCCTTCCACCCTTAGACTAAATTAACCAAGTTTGGCTGGCTTACAGAGGTGATGTGGGATAAGTCTCCAAACACTAACCCGCATATGCAGTTCGTTGCATGGGAGGTGATAGAGAGAAAGAACACAAGATAGAAAGATCCGAATGGAGACTGCCCGCGAGGCCACCTAAGACCTAGCTCTGTACCATGCTAGATTATTCAAGGCAATCCAACCCAAAATCATTTGCATGTCTAGAATATATGGACCAAGTTTGATGTTTTAGAGGGCGATGGGACAAGTCTTATGAAAAGCTAGAGGTATAACCACAAAAGGTTGTTTTTCATATGGAGTCGAAAATTGTCTAGTCAAGTGCAATGGAAAAAATGAGAAGAAAACAATAAGGCCAAAAAGAAAGTGTGCCATGACACCTCAAGAAAAGACATGGTGATCAATGTTATTTACAAACAAAAAAGCCCTCAAATTAAGCACATGACAAGAAGAATCATGTAACTGAATACAAGTAGCTGCACTGTGAGCATTGCCAAAAATCATCCATGTCTCTACAAAGAGAGGCACCTCATAACCCATGAGTTCTCTTTTAAATGAGCTTCTCTATGGTGAGAAGGTGTAAAGAGTTGATGCCAACCAAGAAAGAGTTTAACTTCCATTTTCCAGATTTTTTTTATGGGAGAATGCCAATGGAAGAAGGAAGTTTGGTGCTTGTTTTTTAAATAGTGTGCTTTCTGGGAGGAGGATAGACATCCCTTCAAAGCGTATATGGCCCAGAAAAGTTCCCTCCAAACTCAAAGTATTATTCTTTGTTTAGTGTGCTTGCACTGAAGGCCATTTGATTATCAATATGTGTCAAGGGGACAAATGCTACTCAATTGGTGTTTCATGTGCAAGAAGGCATAGGAGATGGTTGATCAACTTCGCTGGATTGTGAGTTTTTTAGAGATCTTTGAAGCTTGGCATCACTATACTAGTGCATTGCAGGATGCCTGGTAAGGTTATGAGCGAAATGGCTGTTGGCTTAAGGGAGCACTCAGAAAATTCTCATCAACTTGGATGGACTCAATGCTTTGTTCCATATGAAGCATTGGGAGGAAAGAAATAGAACAGCATTTGGGATTGTATTCATGTGTTCTTCAAGAAAAGTCATGTTTTGATCCGAAAGTTCATGCCAAGATCCATGTTTTTGTGTTTGTTTTCATATGATTTTCAAGTATGGGTACCCAGGTCCATGTTTTCGAACTCATAGCATGAAATCCCAGATTTTTATTATAAAGAAGTTATGATTTTAGCATCTATGTTCTTCATGATCTTCATGTTTATGTTCTTCATGTTCTTCACGGGTGGAAACCCCGATCTCCAGACCTCACTTCCCTAAGTATAGTCGCCGAGATCACTCTTGCCTAGACCTCACACTTAGGCCAAGCATCGTATCTCACCTTGGCCTACCTTGCATGATCACTTACACCTTCAGTTTGTCTTGTGCGCACCTCGGCATGCAGCCGCACGCCGAAGCCTTGGTAACCACACCTCGGCCAGGAGGTGTGGGACCTCGGCAAAGACCTGGTTGGTACCCAGCATGTCTTCCTGACATGTAAAACAGTGTTTTGACTTCCAGCATGTTTTTCCGAGACCATTTGCATGCATGTAAGACTTGTTTTGAGAAGTGCATTCAGTATGCTTTGCCATGTGTTTGTAGGACTTGGACCCTTGCCTTGATCCCGGCGTCCCAAGAACTATGTGAGTGGTATTTTTAATAAAGTTATGTTATAAAGATTTGATAAAGCCTTGTTTCGTTTTGATAAAAGTATTTGATCAAGCATGAATGATTACCCCTATTTTTATGTATCAAGTAAGCTTTGTTTTGATGACCTTCTTGGAAAGTCCTTAGTGCCAGGGGACTATAATGCAACTGCACATCTTGTTTTGAAAGTCTCTTATGCTGGAGGACTCTAAACTTTCGCAGTACTCTCGTGTTAAAGGGCTACGGGCCTTTGTAACGTAGATCTCTTGTGCTGGAGGACTCTAAACTTTCGCAGTACTCTCGTGTTAGAGGGTTACGGGCCTTCGTAACATAGGTCCTTTGTGTTAGAGGACTCTAAACTTTTGTAGCACCCTTGTTTGAGATATCTCCCTTGCCACCGACTGCCTTGTGCGGATGGGTTTGTCTAATCAATTCCGGGTCGATTATTCCCTTGTTTTGAGGGTCCTTTCGTGCTAGGGGACTTTAAGCCTAGGTAGCACCGTCCTTTCGTGCTAGGGGACGTTAAGCCTAAGTAGCACCCTTGTTAAGATATCGGCCACCGACGGACTATGAACGGGTGTGCTCGATGCCGAGGTTATGTTTTGTTTTGCCGGAATGTCAACACCCTATGTTTTAAGTTTGACGTATGTTAAGTAAGTAAGCAAGTTTTGAAAGACCAAGGTTCGATTAATGTTTTATTTTAAGTCAAGCTAAGCTATGTTATGTATGATTTTGACAAGGATATACTATGTATTGTTTTGAAAAGATCTCGGGTATCATTCATTTAACCCCTTTATTACTTGTATCATTCACTGAATATCCAAGCTCACCCTCCCTATGTATATATGTAGGTAACAAGCAAGAAGTCGGCTATGCTAAGATGTGTATTTTGTATGCATGTTACGTCGGCAGTGAGGATGTCGGCAATCTTGAAGCTTATGTATTTTGTTCATGTCGGTTTGTGAAGCCCTTTTGTTAAAATGTAATATATATTTTTGTACTTTATTTTAACTGTATTCAAGTTGTAAGCTATGTAAAGATGTATGCCATTCCATTTGACTTATGCACTGCTCTTATGGACTAATTAGATTTGTATGTATTGCTTCCGCACATGTTAGCCCCATATATTTATACTCTGATTGTGTGTGAATTTTGAAAGTTGGCCTTCGGTAATCTCGGATTACTGGCCATCACGGCACCATCCTACTAGGGGCGGTTCGGGGTCGTGACAATAATGGGCCAGCCATATGGGCTATAGGTGTCCTTATGAATAATCTTTCTAGATGTCTAATTAGTTTCTAATCAAAGTTTTACGGTTAATTGATATTAGATATATTATAGCCTATTATTATAGCTTGGAATTTATGTTTTGACTACCTAGGATTTGAAAGGGTGGTTCTCTAAAAAATTGAAAGATTTCTTGAAAGATCTCTAAATGAACAAGATCATGTTTTTGAGATTATAGAAAATATTTCTATGTAAGTTTCTCTTGCTTGGAGTGAGTTCATTCTCCTACAATCAAGATATGGCTTGGTCGCATCGAGTGACATCCATGATTAGCAACGTCAAGTGGTGTATGTTACGCCCCGGTGGGTGACATCCCAGGATTATCCCCTCTCTTGGTCGAGATATCTTGTTCTGGCCACCCTTGCAGGTTCCGGCCTACATCAAGGATTATGCCTTCGTAAACTATATGCTGAAGAATTTTATGTACATATTCCTATTGCCAAACTGATAATGTCTCTCTAGGCTTACTCCAAGGAATTTGACATTAGTGTTGAAATGAAAAGCACCAGGCTACCAGCTGGTCCAACAAGATTCGACCGGAACATCAACTATACATGTACAACCCCTTAAAAGACTTGTAAAACAGTATGGAGCCATCATCAGGCTACCAAGATTCGTTGTTACCCTTCTCAAATTGAAACTTAGATAATACGTAGAAACAAATTACCTCAATTGTCGCATTTGGAGGGATTTCCTGTACCCCTTTGCTTCCATAAGCTAACTCAGGAGGAACTATCAGCACTCGCTGCAAGAAATGGATAATGTGAACTCTTCATAAGTATGTAAATCATGAGCCCATTAGCTAACTGTGTTACTTATCCAACTTTAAGTCTTTCGCCAATCATTATAGAGTGAAAAATGAAGTGTTCTTTCTTGTTAACCAAATAATCCTAAGAACTCTTATTTGATAGTTTTCTTACATGTAACAAGGAAATATTATGCCATGAGCAGTCATACCTGGCCTCCTACTTTCATGCCTTGAACACCTAAATCTAATCCTTTGAGGACTGTGCCCCTCTCCGATTGACCAACATCAAATCCATAAGGCTGTAGCAATTGAGGAATATGCACAGTATTAAGAGGCATAAAAATTCTTCAAAAGATAATTATGGACTAGAAATTAAATAGATGTCAACAAAATTGTCCAGTATTCTTAAAACAACTTTGGCTGTGTTTCTCCAACACAGTAAGAAATGAGAGTCATATTGCAAGGCTTTTTAAGAATCACGCCCAAACATATATGTTTTACAATAACTAGAGGACTCTATATATGGGTGCAGAATGACAAATTTCTGGGGCTAGGGATTATTTTCTCCACATAATAATTTAAGAAAAGTTAAAATCAAATGGAATAGGTACTATTTATAATGTAGATACCTCCAGGAAAGAGGAAATTGATGCTGTTATATTCTAAATTCATGTACACAAAATCCAAAAGTGGAAATTTAAAAAAATAGGTGAAAGCGCTAGTGCAAAATAATGTGCACATAACTAGATTATGGATTGGAATATGAGTTCCCTGTCTACCTTGAAGAAAAACGTAGACAGGGAAATGGAGTCTATACGCTAGTTTTGTTGCCTCCCTTCCTCGTACAAGAAAGTACTAGATGGAAATAGATGATGAAATCTCGAAAATGGGAGGCGAAAGAGCATGTTTAGTTTCCAAGTAATTAACCAATACTCCTTCCTGTTCCGGGAATTCCATGTTGGCAGTATGCCCGACCAATAGCAAGGGCCTAAAGAATTACATGGCCCTACAAACAAGGAAATGACGGAAAAATAACAAGATACCATTGGATGGGCACATGGCCACGTGGTTCTCTTGACCCATATAATAATTTCTGCTACATAAGAATTTGGGAAGGTATAGAGTGTCTATATAGCCAATATACTTTCATTTCATGAGAAGTGATACAAAACATTGGAGGCATCCAACCAAAAATAAATTGGCATTAGGTGGAAAGGCCTTTAGACTATATTAACCAAATTTGGGTGGCTTAGAGAGCCAATGTGAGACAAGTTTCTAATACTTCCTTCCACCCTTAGACTAAATTAACCAAGTTTGGCTGGCTTACAGAGGTGATGTGGGATAAGTCTCCAACACTAACCCGCATATGCAGTTCGGTTGCATGCGGAGGTGATAGAGAGAAGAGACACAAGATAGAAAGATCCGGGATGGAGACCTGGCCCGCGAGGCCACCTAAGACCTAGCTCTGGTACCATGCTAGATTTATTCAAGGCATCCAACCCAAAATCATTTGGCATGTCTAGAATATATGGACCAAGTTTGACTGGTTTAGAGAGGCGATGCGGGACAAGTCTTATGAAAAGCTAGAGGTATAACCACAAAAGGTTTGTTTTTTCAATATGGAGTCGAAAATTGTCTAGTCAAGTGCAATGGAGAATAAATGAGAAGAAAGACAATAAGGCCAAAAAGAAAGTGTGCCATGACACCTCAAGAAAAGACATGGTGATCAATGTTATTTACAAACAAAAAAGCCTCAAATTAAGCACATGACAAGAAGAATCATGTAACTGAATACAAGTAGCTGCACTGTGAAGCATTGCCAAAAATCATCCATGTCTCTACAAAGAGAGGCACCATAAACACACGTAGAACCCATGAGTTCTCCTCTTTTAATGAGCTTCTCTATGGTGAGAAGGTGTAAAGAGTTGATGCCAACCAAGAAAGTGTTTAACTTCCATTTTCCGTTATTTTTTATGGGAGAATGCCAATGGAAGAAGGAAGTTTGGTGCTTGTTTTTAATATAGTGTGCTTTCTGGGAGGGAGGGATAGACATCCCTTCAAAGCGTATATGGCCCAGAAAAGTTCCCTCCAAACTCCAAAGTATTATTCTTTGTTTAGTGTGCTTGCACTGAAGGCCATTTTGATTATCAATCATGTGTCCAAGGGGACAAATGCTACTCAATTGGTGTTTCATGTGCAAGAAGGCATAGGAGATGGTTGATCAACTTCCGCTGGATTGTGAGTTTGCTAGAGATCTTTGAAGCTTGGCATCACTATACTAGTGCATTGCAGGATGCCTGGTAAGGTTATTGAGCGAATTGGCTGTTGGCTTAAGGGATGCACTCAGAAAATTCTCATCAACTTGGATGGACTCAATGCTTTGTTCCATATGAAGCACTTGGGAGGAAAGAAATAAGACAGCATTTGGAGATTGTATAGGTTGAAAAAATTGTTAAATACCTTCCCATTTTTGGATCCCAAAAAAAATTCTTGACTTCAATTCCTTTTATAGATTTTATATGAGATCTCACTCTTTTGGAACGAGCTTAGTTGTTTTTCTTTTTCCTCCTATATACACTGCATGTACATGGTTGTGCTCTGTTTAGGTGTGCATAATGTAACATCTATTTACCCAAAAAGAAGAAGAACAACAAGAGGATTCTTGTATGATAATAGATGACTTGTTGTGTGACGTTGATAGAAGGATTGCACAATGGTTGGAGAAAATTACTGGAAATTATTCACTGGCTTACCCTTATCCATGGCTTCAAAGAAAGATAGAATAGCGGTTTCAAAATTACTGGAAAACTATTCTTAATGAATCATGTTAATTGGTTCTTCTCATAGTGCTATTTGACAATGAGTTAGATATGTATTTGTTTCAGTGTATCCCCGCTGATTATTTAACCAAAATTAATGAAAGAAGTGGTGTACATAGGAGGCCCATGATAGAAATCTTACTGTTCCACCACCAACACCAAGTCCCTGTCTACTTGTCATAAAAGTGATGCCTTTCCATTTAGCTACATAGTGGACCTACAGCATGAATTAACATCATTTAGTCCAGTTTTCTAAATAAAAATAATCACAAGAATCAAATAATATCCCTTAAGATTCTAACAAGAAAACAATACTGAAAATCTTGAAAAACATCTAGAATCTACATAAACACAAATGGATTGCACAAATCTACCAAGTTTTCTATAAGAAAGGAACAGACTTCTTGACTGTCAGATCCAGTTTCAAATGCGTCTTATTTCACTAAACAGTAATGCACTACGCTTAGCTTAACCATTCGAAAATGCTTTCAGTTCTCAAAGTAGTTTAACAGTATCATTTCCTGCCATCCAAAATTGATAAACGACATGCTTTCTTGAGTTCTCACTATGTGACAATTGAACACTTCCACTACAATATAATAAGGCCAAAATAGCAGATATGCACTTTTTTAGCTTCACATAATGTTTTTTACAATTTGGGTGATAAAATGTCGAAAAGGTAGTTGAAGTTTCAAACTTCCACTGGAGCATGATATTTTGTTTTGGACTTGAACAATATCACATAGTTGCCAACCTGAATCAGAGTTAAATTTACTAGCATAATCATATGACACAGCAGCATCCACAGACAATAACAAGATAAAATCACTCAGAATCTTCCCGAACATCAAAGTTAACTAGACTATAGTGAATGGCATCTTGTACTCAGAATAGTTGTTTGTTTGAGCAGCCTGCCATGAATAATCTTCTTTACATAGGTTAGTTTTTGAACCTTTATTGAATAAAAGGACTATTATACTAATAAAATGATTGTTGCAAGATATTTACTACTCTTAAGTCCAATATGAATATTTAATTTGTTGAAAAATTCTCAACATTTTCAACAGAAAGGAAGATATAAAAGGTGACAAATGATAAAAACAGATATATTCTGGACCAAGTGGATGCATGAATGGGTTCTCACTTAGAGCATGGTACCAAAGTATTATGGGTAACAAGTGTACTGCATGGCATATGAATACTCTTTAAGATGGGTAACCGTGAAAGTTAAAAATAAAAATTTAAGTGGGCCACAACCATACTGCAACTCGAGATCCCTTCACAGCCTCTGCTCCACCCCCAACCTTCAAATCATAATACCTGAATGATAATGCCATCAGAATTTGGGTAAATACCTGAAAATGGATGAATGCACAAATTTAAGATATTCTCTTTACTTCAGAATTGAAAATTGATAGAAGGATAAGCATCCAAAATTAGGAATTGAGTTGAATCTTGAAACTTACAACCATTATCTATTCTGGCAATGCATATCATTTTCAGATTCCAAGAATCACATGTTTAGAATAATGTGCTCAGATGCAATAAGAATGGAAGATATATTTACATGTAAAATGCAGAGTTTTAAGGCACCTTAAGAACAAGCATCATAGGGTAATGAATTAAATCCACATGAAGAAATATGAGAAACAGTGTATTAAAGGTTATAATAGTTTACTAACTTTAAGCCATTGGGAAGGGTTTTAAAATCACTCTCAGGTATCTTTTCTCCTCTAAGCTGCAGCAAACAAAAGAATTAACTCTTCCACCAACGTATTTTTAACAAAGAAAAATCCAATTGCACCAATCAAAAATAGGTGAATACATTAGAAGAATCTTACTGCTCTTCTGCTTGTGCTTACTGCACCAGCCACGTCACAGACAGAAATGCCAGCAGCTGAATCATAATAGACGTTCATTAGATATTTAAGTAAATAAATGGCACATTTACGAATATAGAGAAGCAAACTTTCAGAAAAATAGAAAACAAGACCTGAAAAGAGGGCATTGAAGAAAAGTTGAGTATCCAATAAGTGATAAGGTTGGTGTGGTGGAGTTTTTGTTAGATAGCTTGCTATACATTATTGGACCCATTTCCTAATAACTTAAGCTTTTGGGAAAATTGATAACTTAACGTGGTATCAGAGCTTTGGTTGAGAGAGGTTTTGGATTCAAGTATCTCGGTTGGCATTTGGTAGTCTGTCCCCACTTGGTTTCTCCCTCTTTGTTTGGTTGTTTGCTTCTCTTTCTGTTTGATTCTTTGTTTGTCTCTCTACGTACAAGACAAGGTTGCACGTGAGGGAGGGTGTTAGATAGCTTGATATATATTGTCAGGGCCATTTCCTAATAGCTTAGGTTTTTGGAAAAATTGGTAACTTAACAGTTTTGACATAGTTTATATACACAAAGCGGTACTCAAAGGGTAGCTAGTCCTACTCACAGGATAAATGGAGAAGGAAGATAAAAAAGGATACAGATTAGCAATCAATCTTGATTCTATATGATCAAAACTGATACATGATAATGGAGAATCTGTTGATACCCAATCTTGACTCTATCTAATTATGCTTCACCATGAAAAGCATGATGGTTATATACATAAATAGATGCATAAATTCAACCATGAAATGGACAACTCAGTTGTTTTTTGATATCTCCACATTTACTTTTATGTAGTTAGTACATATCCATATCCTCCTGGCTGTGTCCCTTACAGTGGATACCAAAGTTGCAACCCCTTACTGGGTTGAGGTCTGATATTTGGTAAGCTTCTTCTGAGCCAGTATAAGAAACCAAGCATATCAAGGCAATAGAAAGTTAAGATCTGTTACTGTAATCAGGCTTTCCTCATTGTCTTTTGTCTTCTTTCTAAAGCCAGTAGCTTTTCAGTATTGTTTTCACCTTACTTTGAAATGTGAGACACTAAGACTAAAAAAGACCCGGATAAGAGCTTCATGACTTGAAATATGGCTCTTGGATAGCATGTAAAAGTAGTAAGAGAATACTTCTGCCATCCCTGGATACTCAAGACAAGGAAACATGAAGTATTTTGTGTTGTCAATGCCAATTGGTTGCCAAAAGCTTATCCCAATGACATAGAGTAAGAAAGCAAGTTTAACTAGAAAAGTGGCGTACGAATATAAGTGATCACAAATCAATTCAAAAGTAGCTGACCTAGATTCTTCAACACCAAAGTCTCTCTCTCTCTCTCTCTCTCTCTCTTATTATTATTATTATTATTATTATTTTGCGTAATCAATTCGCAAAGCCTTCAATTCCAACCCAATTAGGCAAGCAATAAGAATCCTAAACATGGCCATATCATCCTCTCTGTAGCTTTGAACTAGCATAAGCATCACTAAATTGCACGAATACATCCACTACGCTATGTTTATTTTAGATTCTTTCAATTTCCCTCCACATATCCATGATCCAAATATAGCTTTAGTCCCTATCCAGACTAAGAAGCGGAAATGGAATTCAGGATTCTTGGGTTTTGGATTTCAATATAATCCACACTGACATTAATACCAAAAAGTTACAGAATTTAACCCTAAAAATCTCCCAATCAGCAAGGAAAGCATAACCCAAAATTTAATTAAGAGTTTCAATAAAATGCAAAATGCAAGTGTTGAAGCCCCAAAGAGCAAAAACCCATGAGAGCGTTGGACTAACCTGCTGACAGAAGACAAGCCATCAATGCCCTCCTTCCCTGGCATTGTGAAGAGAGTGTGGGTGCTTTAGCTGTAGCCTCTGGGGAAGAAGAAGATGAGCAACGACATGACAATACAGATGTGTTTCTGTTGAAGGGTCTCTTCCCTGTGGATTCAAATAATTCCTTAGTTTTCCAACAACAAATCCTAGAGAGAGAGAGAAAGAGAGAGCTTACTTGAGATGAAAATGGAGGAGAGAGAATGGGGAAGGAAGGCGGGTTTGTGATGGTGGTAAGGCAGGAGGGAGAGTTCCATTGGGACAGTTGGAAGTGACAGTTAGGAGAGAAAGTGAGAGGGAAAAATAAAGGAAACCAGTTGGTTGTGTAGAGAGAGAGAGGATAACATCCTCAATTTCATCCACATTTTTGCAAGTTTTGAAATCATGAAATGCTGATTTGATGATTTGTCATCATCTACTAAAAGCTCACAAATTGAAATTGCCCTTAAGCTTCGTTTGGCATGGATATTTTTTTGGTTAAATTAATTAAAAAAAATAAAATAAATTAAAAATTAATAAGATAAAATATCATATTTAAATTATAATTATTTTATTTTTTTCTAATAAAAAGTCAAAAAAAATCAAATCAAACAAATTGGGATATGGATTGACTTTTTGGTTATTTTAACTCTAGGCTAAAATAGTCTCGTTTAAGATGAATTTTTTAGACTTTTTTGAGAAAAAAAAATATAATAATTATGATTTAAATGTAATAATTTTTAACTTGAGACTAGAAAGTTTATTTTGCCATTTGATGGGATTTTAAGACTTGGTTTGGTTTAATTTTGTCTATCATTTTATGGTTTGAAATATATTAAAATATACTCTTAATTACTTATTTAAAATGAAATTATTTTCTTGAATTAAGTAGGTGTTTGGCATGCACTAAAAAATATATATTTTTTACATACATACACTTATTCAGGTCGCATCAATTAACATCTATCAACATTTTCTCTCTATTTTTCTACCTACTTTCTTTATTTTTTTACACATTTCTTTTATTTATAAAAAATCAAAAAGACACTTATTTAAAATATCCAAAACCATCATAAGTAGAAATTTGATCTCATACTGTTGTTTGGAAATTGCTTATTTGGTTTTTTATTTTATTTTATTTTGTGTGTGTATTTTGTTACTTTTTTCAAAATAATATTTGAAAAATGCTTATACAGTTGTGTTTTTTAGATTTTAACAAATAATAAAAAAAAAATTGCCCCCCATCACATGCTTGGTAAGCAAAATTTTATTTTTTTTTACGTACATACACTTATTTAGGTCGCATCAATTAACATCTATCATTATTTTCTCTTTATTTTTTTCCCACTTTCTTTATTTTTTTACACATTTCTTTTATTTATAAAAAATCAAAAAGACACTTATTTAAAATATCCAAAACCATCATAAGTAGAAATTTGATCTCATACTGTTGTTTGGAAATTGCTTATTTGGTTTTTTATTTTATTTTATTTTGTGTGTGTATTTTGTTACTTTTTTCAAAATAATATTTGAAAAATGCTTATACAGTTGTGTTTTTTAGATTTTAACAAATAATAAAAAAAAAATTGCCCCCCATCACATGCTTGGTAAGCAAAATTTTTATTTTATTCTTTGAGGCCATGGGACACGTGAGGGTATATTTATCTTTTTATCAAAATAAAAAAAGTAGCTTTTTTCATTAATGCAAAAATAACAAGATATATCTTGCTTTTTTGGCTTATTGCTTATTAGCTTTGTATTGGAAAAAGATGGCTGGTATATAGTGAGTTCCCAAACACCTACTAAAGTTAAAACTACATCGTTTTGCTACTTTAAAAACACATGAAAACAAAATATATTTATCATAAACAAAATTTTGAACCTGTTCATCCAAACAAGAAAAAAAAAAAAAATGATAAACAAAAAATGACTATTATAAGAACAAACAATATAATCGGTTGACCGAACAATAACAAAAAATAATTAGTACCATTATCTAATAACCAAAAATAAAACTTTCGTCATAGCAAAACATATTTGGATGAATATCTTCTATTTTCATGTGTTTTTATGACAGCAAAACGACATAATTTGGACTTAAATACTATGACTAAAAAATTTGGACAAAACTACATAGTTTTGACCCCAATATTGTAGTTAAAAATAAAACGACATAGTTTTAGTGCGTAACAGTAACACCCCCAAACTTTCATAACCTTGCATGTGTATTTAAAAATAAAAAATAGATAAACTTACAATATATAAAATTTTATTATTTTCTCATAAAAAAACTAAAAAACAAAACAAGTATGAAGTCCTCTTGTGTTTTTATTTATTTATTTATTTATTTTTTTGGGAGAATTACCTTTATCCTTTTAATTTTGATCAGTAAATTGAGAAGGAAAAATGGGTACAGGACTGCACAACCTATGCCCCCTTGTTTTAGCAAGGAATTTCTCCTTAGATTCATTTTTGTGAAGTAAATCCTGATGTTATGTAAATCAATCATTTCAATGGTTGACCCTGATGGAATGACATGTTCTTCTGAACCATAAAGAAGTCATTTCGGTCATTTGGATAAGTTGGTTTAAACTTTAGGGGAATTATATGGAGGTTGGAGTAAGAGAAAAAAATTATAAATGAAAGGATGAGGGAGTGCAAGTGTCACTTGCACCTTTTCATGTGTTCGTAATTTTTTTTCCCTTCTTCTATTTGCATATGGTTTTTCTTTTAAACTTTACACTGATCGGACAGCTAAAAGAAATTTAGATTGGGCAAGCGGGAGGAGGAATTATTAGACGCCATCATGACCATTGGGTTGTGGGGTTCAGCATCCACTGTGTATGCTGATTTGATGATTTGTCATCATCTACTAAAAGCTCACAAATTGAAATTGCCCTTAAGCTTCGTTTGGCATGGATATTTTTTTAAAGAGAAAAGGTAGGCGAAATGTGAATAAAATATACTTACATTTCATATAGTTTCATACAACTTTTCTCTTTTTATTTCCAAATCTCTCTCCAAATCCTCCAACCAAACACAACGTAAGGGATGACGGTAGTTGTGGAAGTTGATACAACAATCGTTAAGGAACCCTTGTTTGAACATAAAATAAATAATCATAGATTGAGTAATATCATTCTTGACTGCAGGTACTTGATGAACGAGCTGGGGGTATCTAAAATCAACCATTTCGATCAGGAGGCAAGCAAATATGCTAATCTTCTAGCCAACTTCGACAATGGTTTGATTACGGGTTCTCATTTCTTTAGTTTAGCACATTCTTGTATTTTCAATCAACTGACACTGAATGCCAACGAATTACTTGTAACTAACTTATTTAGTTTATGAAGTACCCTAGAATGTCCCAATTTTGCGATTCATTATGAGATTAATCTCTTTTATGACTGGACTACTCGTGTTCAAAACATATAGCTTTACATCAGTAAAAAAAAGAAAAACTTAATGGAAGATTCACAATGATCAGTATATGGGGTTTGTTTGAATTCAAAAAATGCTCATCCTATTTTAAACTATGATGATATTACTATCCCAAGGAAAATCATTTTGTAGAGATAACCATTATCAGTCAAAGAAATGGCTCATTCAACTTGGAATTTTTAAGAAAATCAATTCTTGTTTTGGAGCCAACAATCATGAGGACTGTTCTTAAAAACTGAATCATATCAAAGTCATGAGAACTTCATTATCAGTCATTAGTACAAACTACAACTTAACTCCTCAAATTTGAAATTCACTGCACATTCTTAGCCCTTGGAAACAATTTTTTTTTTCCTTTTTGTTCCTTCCAAGTTATTTCTGTATTGTCATGTCATGTATATATAATATGCTTTGAAGATTGGAACTAGTAAATTTAGTCATTTACTAGAACATGTCTTCCTTGGAGGAAGACATGGATCCTCATCAGCTCCTCTATCAGAAACCAAAGGGCTTCCAAAGCACTTCACTTCATGCTTCTCCTTTTCTTTCATCTTCTCACTCCCTTCCACCCATTTCCTAAGCTTTCGGATCAACTTCGGCCTTTTAGAATCAACACAAGCTCCGGCTTTGACCCCTGATGAGCAAGCCTCACCGTGCCCCAAAACCGAACCATCCAATTCAATCTCTCCACTTCCTGCAAACTCCAACTCCAACTGGTTATTTCTCGCTTCTATTTGTTCTCTCTGTTGCTGATCCCTCCTCATTAGCTCGTGCCTCAAGCATGCGTTGCACCAACGCAAGAATATAAGTTCCTTAACCTCTGTTGCTCGGTCCTTTTGGACTTGTTCTAGTTCACTAACTACCTGATTGTAATCCTCTAATTTGATCCCTTCTTCAATCTGCAAAACAAGTACCCTGGTTAAGACTCACAATAGCTGCAATACCATAAAGGTCCCAATTGGGGCATACAATGTTTCTCGTATTTGCATTCGACACATTTTTATCTTGGCAAACCAATCATCTATAAGTGTAGTTTAGCAAATCGTGATATGATTATTAATCACAGACCCTCCTGTATAAATATGTGCAATGAACCACAAATAGAAGAAATGTTTGAACCTTATTTGAAGAAGCTGAATTTTCTATCAACTCTAGCTTGTACAAAAGCTCTTTCTTCTCTTGCAGCTGTTGGTGTACAACAATTTGAAGCTCTGTGATTTGATCCTCCAGTGCCTTAATAAAATTGATGTTTTTTTCTAACTCTTTGCTATTTCTCAAAACCTCTGCTGCTTTTTCTTCAATTTGCATATTCTGTTCTTGGATAACACGAAACATCCCTTTTGTTTTTCTTGAGAGCTTCTCAACTTTCCTGCGAAGCAACCCATTTTCCAATCTTGCAAATCCAAACTGCTCTACTATTCTCAAATACTCCACCACTAACTCCTCAAACCTCTGGTTCTCCGCTTCCATGGAAGAAATTTCTTTGCCCATGAACTCGACACGTGCCATCTCCAACATCAAATTGTTGTGAAGTTCCATTACCACTGACTCTTTCTCTTTCATATCGAAATACTGAAGAAACCTCATCTCTAGCTGCCACTCCCTTTCTTGAAGTTCTTGGATTCGACATTTTAGGCCTAAAATCTCTTCTTCTGCATCACTTTTATCGTGGCTTACCAAACATGCTAGTGGATTTGTGAAATGGGTACTTTTTATTACATTATGTTCTTGTTCTTCATCATCATCCATACAAGACAAAGACATGGAATCAAGGCTGTGACAGCTCTCTTCATCTCTGAACTCCTTGCAATTGGTTGAAAGAGAATTCACTTGGTTTTCTGAATTTAAAGCTTTTGAAACTGAACTTTTTCTTGTTGTGAGCCTAGCAAAGATGAAACAAGCCACAGAGACGGCTATAGGAATTCCAGCCTTGAGGAGGACAGGCTTCATCACCTCTACCTTTGATCTTGTAGTTTCCATATTGATGAACAATGACCGACTTTGATAGCTTGGTTTTGCTTTGTTTGTGATTGATCAAATTCAATTAAATACAATGAAAAAAATAAAATAAAAAATCAAGTTGTGGATTGTTTGGATGGTTAATATTAATTTATGATGATCATGTCTTGGTTGAGATTCTTTGCCTTTGTGCTTGCTTTGAACTTTCCTTTTGTTCTGAGTAATGGTGGTCTTTTGCTTTTTGATCACTCCATAGCACTCCTATAGGCCACCATTATTTCACTTTTCTCTCATGCTATTTGGAATCTAGTTCTTTTTTTTGGTTGATTTAATAGCATTTTGAATTGATGGGTTCATACCATGGCATACATGTGATGATTAATTTGGACCGTCCATGTAGTGACAATTATTTAGCTTTAATCTAGGACCAAAACTTAATCAAGTCTTTTGAGAAATGGGTGACTTTTTGAGAAATTTTTTATTTATTAGCCTCGACATATAGAAGTAGTGTCTCAACTTGTACATTATTAATTAAAATAATAGAACTCATCACTTTTAAATTAAGTTTTAGAGCACAAAAATTAAGTATCACATATTGAATAACACGCAATATTACTTCAAGACCAATAAATAATTTTTCGTCTTTCTTTTTTCACTTCATTTTTTGTAAACAAAAGCCACACCATAGTAATGGGCAAAATAAGTGATACCATCTTGTCCAATGCAACTTTCTAACTTACCGATAATCTAGACGGAGAAATTAGAAGTATTCCCTCCAAAACTTTTAATAATTAATTTTTCAATTAATTTATTTATTTTGTCACATAAGTTAAAAGTTACATCAAACATCACAAACTCCCAAAAATCCTAAAAATTTGGAAAAAAAAAAAGAAAAAAAAGAAGAAAACTATAAACTCAATATTCTATCAATCATAAAAAGCTATTTATCGTTCGGCTTATATCATTATTTATAATGAAACTTAATTGGAAAAATTAGCAATAGATCATTCATTATAAGTTCGTAGTAGATGAAGTCATGTTAAAAGATGTTCAACGCCACCGTCCCTCATGTTTTAAAATTTGCAACTGTTGATCCACTTATTATTTTTTTTGTGACTAATCAACGCTTTGGATATATTATTTGGCCCTAGAATCGCAAGTCGATTTCGTTAATGGTTGTTGAGCAATATTCCTCATCAATAGTCGTTTGCATCACTGGAAATTAAAAGGGTTTATTCCCCAGTGGTGTCAGAAACAAAAATATATATATATATATTACAATTTTAATTATTAATATATAAAAAGTTTTTTTTTATTAATTTGTAATTATTTTTTAAAACCCCAATGATGTGATATTTTCCCGTTAGGATTTTGATTCATGGGATATCATTAAATTGAATCCTTAGCGATATCAATCACAACTTAACTGAATCTAAATTTCATTTGGTGATAGAATGATAAAAAATCAACGTGATGTCAGAATTATATGCTAAGAGTTATGTTTTAGTTAACCTATAATTAATTAATTAATTTATTTATTTATGTTGATTTGCTATTTTAATTCTTGAATATGATGAATAATCAAAATTTAAAATATGATCACATGCATAAAAAAAATGTAGAGATAAACATTTTTTTTTTATCAACAAAATATGAACTTTATTGATAAAAGGGAAGTACAAAGTACATCGCAAACATCAATAAAGCAAGTAAGAGCAAAAAGTATCATAGTTAAACTAAACGATCCTAACTAGGTTGGCATCGAGAAGAAAGCTAAATCATAAGCTAGCTCCAACCTAGGATGGTAAGGAACCAACCAAGACAAACCAAACAAAATATAAAAATGGAAAAAGAAAAGTAGCCAAGCACCCAAAAAACAAGTAGCAAATACCCACAAAGGCACACCCTCACATGATTGAGATAGAGTAATAAGTTAGTCACTGTGTAATGGAAATCTTTTACTGAGGCTTTGATCCATAATGCGAGCCTAAGCTTTATTAGCTCACTCAACTCAAAGCAATTAGGCTGCACTCCAGTGAAAATGCATTCATTCCTCTGCTTCCAGAGTGACCATAGAACAATTAGTGGTAGAGCATTCCAGATTCTTCTTTCCATTCTTTTAAACTTGCCACCCTTCCACCAATGAAAAAGATTATCAACTGTACCAGGTATCACCCATTGAAACCCCCACCACTTCATCATTTCAGCCCATACATTCCAAGAAAATGGGCCAAATAGTAGCAGATGACTGGTTGATTCAGTTTCTGTTCCACAAAAAGTACACTGAGTGGAAGCATTGATACCAAGAATCCCATTTTTCTGAAGGAAAACAGCTGATTTAATTATGTCTTTCCATGCCAACCAGTTGAAGAATTGAATTTTGGGAGGGATATCTTTATTCCAAATGAATTTGCAGATAGTGATCCGAGGGCCAAGAGAAGCAGTACAAAATTTATACACATCAGTAGCTTTGAAAATACCTGAATTTGAACCAAGCCAGGTAGGGCTGTCAGTCACCCCATTCCTGAGTAAGGGAGCTGAGGATAATGCATTTGTCAGCCTAGCAATCTCCACCTCTTCCCACTTATAGGGAGCTCTTTTGAAAGGTAAATTCCAATCCCCTGAAATGGATCTTCTTTCATAAAACAAAGGTAATGTGCCTTCCTTATTTGTTGACAATCTGAAAAGACTAGGAAATTCATCTTTTAGATAATAGTTTCCACATTATTTATCCAACCAAAATCTAACTCTTCTCCCATGACCAACTTTAATGAGAAAGTTGTCCAAAAAGAAATTGCAAAGTAGCTGCTTGTGAGTGACAATAGAGATGATATCACTCCACACCCTAGAATAATTGCAAGAAGACCTCAAAGTTGGTTGCCACCTAAATTCATCAATCAAGTACTTGCTACAAAGGAACTTTCTCCAAAGAGCAGTGAACTCATTTCCAAACTTCCACCACCATTTTAGTAAAAGGCTAGCATTAACATCAGTTATTCTTCTTATTCCTAAGCCTCCAAGGCTTGTGCTTTTGGTAACATTTGTCCACTTTACCATATGGATTTTCTTCTTTAGATTAGTACCTTCCCGTAGGAAATTTGCTTCAATTTTCTCTAGCACTTTGGCCACTTCCATAGGCATTTTGAAAAGGGACAGGTAATAGAGAGGTAAATTAGACAGCATTGACTTGATTAAGGTAAGTCTACCTGCAAAGGATAGTAGTCTTCTCTTCCAACCTGCTAACCTTGATTTGACTTTGTCTAAGACAAGCTTCCAAGTGGACTTTCTTCCAGGATTGGCACCAAGAGGCAAACCTAAGAATTTTATTGGCAGGCCTTGTACTTTACAGTTAAGGAGATCAGCAAAGGATGATAATATCCCATCATCAACACCAATTCCACATAACACACTTTTGTGGTAGTTTATTTTTAGTCTAGAGAGTAGCTTGAAGCATCTTAATACTCTTTTAATGTTCACTAATTGCTCCCTATCTGCTTCACAGAAGATAATTGAGTCATCAGCAAATTGAATGTAGGAAATAACTACTTAATTCCTCCTAATTTTCACACCCTTAATAAGATTTATCTCATAAGCTCTAAGCATGAGTATGTTGAGCCCTTCTACAACTAAGATGAACAGAAATGGTGAAAGGGACCCCTGCCTCAGACCTCTTTGTGGAGAGAATTCTACAGTTGGTGATCCATTAACTAGAATAGAAAGCCTTGCTGAGGAGATACATTCTTTCATCCAAGTAATCCATTTTGTACCAAACCCAAAGTTAGAGAGCAAAGAAAAAAGAAAGTTCCAATTGACTGAATCAAATGCTTTTTCGAAGTTAAGCTTGATGATGATACATTTCTTCTTAGATTTTTTCCAGCTGTCCACAACTTCATTGGCTGTACACTATCCAAAATGTGTTATAGCGATTTCGGTTTTGACCCGTCACTTATTGTGTTCTGGATTTAGGTTGGCATGGTTTTGAATGGTGATTCATATCTTGTTTCTCTTGTCTCCTCTCTGTTTCGGTTATTGGATTGTAGTGTGCGTTTGGAACAGGTTGGTTGCTTGTTTTTCCAAACCTGTGTTGCCCAGAATTTTGGCCTTCTGCTCGAGCAGGCCTTCTTGCGCTCAAGCGAGGTTTGCAAACACTCAGTACTTTGATCGTCTGAGCGGGCCACTTTTGTGCTCGAGCGGAACAAAACTTTGTGCCTGACGCTCGAGCGTCAACTCTTCTGCTCTAGCGGACTGTGCGTATATCATATCATGAAAGTGACATTTTATATCACTTTTTCATTACTCTCTCTCTAAAACTTTCCAAGGACCTAGATTTTGACTCTCTCACTCTAAAATACTCTCTCTCTCTCTCTCTCTACATTTTGACCTTGATTTAGTGGGTTCCCTACCTTTGTGCCTTTGTTAAAAAGTTAGAGCATCTTAAGATCTTCATTTTCATCTGATTGAAAGTTGGTTTCGGCATTGTTGGAGTTTTAACTTTGCTTTGCTTGGTCTTCTAGCTTGAGGTAGGGATTTTTTACACTTTGTTATGATTTTTAACTTAATTATTTGTGGTTGTGTAACAATGATGAGATTTGGGAGTATTTTGAGCCAAACCTAGGGTTTGGGTGAAATGTGAAAGAGGGGTTTTTGGTGAAAATGAAATAAATGAACATGGGTTTGAAAATGAAGTCATGTTATGTCAAGATGGGTGATTTTGGTATTTTGAAAAGAGGGATTTTTTCCCTAAATTGATTATCATATCTATTTTGTATAAATAGTTGAAATTGGTGTTGTAAACATGGAATTGAGTGAGTATTAAAATAGATGATGGAATTGAGTATATAATGCTTCACATCTTGAAAATTTTGGATAAATTATCTGTCTTGAGATTGTATATCTATTTAGAAATATCTATTTTGGGCTATCGGTAGAGGATAGTTTTGCATGTTGTAGAAATTGCATGTGAATTAGGTGAATTGAAACTAGTCCATGGTTGATTATCATTGAATATGATCATGCTGTGAATACATTATATATGTATGATTGATTGGGAGGAGAAATGGGATGTACTCTATATGTGTGATTATGTGTTTAAATACATTACATATGTATGATTGTTCGGGAGGAGAAAGGGGATAGACTCCATTGTTTGGGAGGAGAAAGGGGATGGACTCCATTATAATTAAGTTGGCCGGAGTGTCCTGGGTGAAAGTCCCGAAATTTACATACGAGTGTCGATT